AGCAGCCCTAGACGTAGAGCCGGGCAAGTAACGCCGCTCATTTTACCGCGATATCGCAATAGGAAACCGCGGCGCCGGCGCAGCTCCAGTGGTCTCTGACATAGATACGCAAATGCACTTTTGATTTCAATAATGATCTTATTAATTGTTTTGTCTCGTATAATCCAAGTTGTTGTAGTTTTATTTTATGCACTTACTTGGTATTTATCATTATATTTCGCCCAATTTACATTTACATAACATCTTTTTAAATTGTATCCTATATGTTATTCTGATGTATAACTTATATTACTGCGGAGTTTCATTAAAACCCGTTCGGTAGTTTTTGGGTGAAAGAGTAACAAATATGTATCCATACTCACAAACTTTCGCGTCTATAAAATACTAAGATGCAGGTATATAGGTACAAGGAAAGACAGAAAATGACTCGGAAACGGAGATATAATTTAGGAAACGATTGTCAGAACTATAAACAAAATGTACAATAAAAGAACTATAAATTCAAATTCAAATTTAGAATAACAAACATATATGTGATTAGCCAGTACAGTATACAACACAAGTTAATCCAAAACTTCATTGGACGCTGACTCTCTCATTAATTTGTACCTATTGGATGTAATTTGTATGTAAATAATATAATCGCGAGGATAGAGGATTGTTAAAATTAGGGAATGGTGGACCCAGTGTCAGTGAAACCACGCAATTCTCCCTAGAAACTCTCGTATTTAATATGCCCCAACGGGTTAACTGACCTGATCACATCGTCATCCTATCATCCTCTACTGGTGCTTCGCCAGTGCATGCTGTTAAATTAGGTTCATTCCATTATCATCTATTAAAAAATTAATTTCCTAACTCACACATTCATAGAACACTAATACAGTTTTATACGTTCAAAATTCAAAATTCAAAATTCAAAATTCTTTATTTAGATAACACCATTTACATTACACGTTACATTTAAACAATTCCAAAGACAAATATTACCCAAAGTAATTTAAAATGTTATCAATCAATATAAACATTTTGACACATTGTTTTAATTGAGGTTCTGATAGATACTTGAAAAATACCTAATTATGTTTTTTAGTTATATTGTAATGTTACAAAATTAATTAGATTTAGTTATTTCTGTTTCTTTAGTTAGCCTTGAGAAAGTTCAATAAAACTCAAGCATGATTAAATACCTAACAAAACCACGTAGAGTGCAGCTGTTGCAACATAGAATGACTAATATTAGCGACTATGCGTTTAAAACAATACAAAATATAACTATATATATTATTGAATCAGTCTTGATGTATGCTGCCGGGCACTAGTGGACGATGAGCATAAAGTAATAATAGCTTATTTAATTAAATACTTAGGTATTATTATCTTTATTAAATATTTAATAATATTAGCTGTAAATTTTTCCTTGACATACACATATTGGCATCAAAATAGAATCTATGTAACAACCTGTACGGCTTCTAAAAAAGGAAAGTTTTCCCAGTTTCACACATAAATAGTTTTGTTTTAATTGAGGTGGTCTTAGTAAATGCGAACAGAATCTTTGCACACAAATAAGACATGCGAAAAATAATTTGTTACGCAAATTCTTATAAAAAGTATTTTCCTAGTGACACCTAATTACTCAATAACTGACAACTTATAAACAAAAAACAAAAGATCATAGATATTCTATTTTTGAATTAAAAAATAGTCACAATCGAAATTTAAATTATTAGGATATCCGGACGAACGAACGTGCGTTTGAAATTAAGTTTGGAACAGACTCGAATAATTCTTTTTTCGTATTTACGAGTCTACTCACAAGTTTTATAAGGGATTGATTCAATACTTGAAACTGAGCGGATCGAATGCAGTATAGGTACAAACGTTCATATAAATAATATTATGTTTACTTCAGCCAACAACATTGAACTAAATTCGACATAATCTTGCTTTAGAAAACAAAATTGTAATTTTAAACCGAAATCTGAGGCTTCTTCAATTCCTCTTCAAAAATTCAAAGGTTAGTCAAATTTTAATGTAATCTTTGATTTAAAAAAGTAGACGAAATCGCGGGTAACTTTATATTCTATGTTTTAACATGTAACGCATTGTTAAAAACAAGATTAACTGCATAGAAATATACTTAAATATACATACATGAAATTACCGTTTTTCCTAAGAACTGACTTAGAGTCATCGCTCTACCATTTATGACTCAAACGGCATTGGCGTCAATTGGCATACTTGTGAACTGAACAAGTTGGCCAAACATTTGCCGTTTGTGATAACCTGTTTCTATCAGATCCAAGAAAAAGAAACGAGAGAAAAACTTCGACCAAACTTGGTACAGCCTATTTAGGTTGGTGTTGTCTACAACACCATTATGATCATGTATTGCTTTACTTGCTTACAAAATAAACTAAACAGTTGTAATGATACTAATCATGAACTAAATGTGTTTTCGAGAATGGGAACGTTGTATTCATGGAATGTTCCGAGTCGTGAAAGATATGGTGGGAGTATTTTTGTTGAGGGATTAAACTCGTTCCTGGAAAACCGTAAACCACGAATATACATTTCATTTTTTTGCATTTTATATTTAACTATCTGATCCCCGCGCCTTCGTCTGAGTCACAACTTGTCCGTTTGCAATATATTTTATCATTACTAGCTGGCCCCCCAAACGTTGTTTTACTCGTAAATAAAAACCACTATTCAAAAATAGGGGTTGGTGGTACAATGGTGAAAGTTTAGGGTTGTATGTATTTTATAATGCCAAATCATAACAAAATAAAAAAAAATTCGTCCAAAAAATTTAAAAAAATGTTGTAGAGGACAACCCTTATCAGTTAGGGGTATGAATGGACTATCCAGCACTAGAAGATTTTTTCACTATTATCTATTCAGTAGATAGTACCTGAGTATACAACAAACATCCAAACTTTAGCTCTTTAGATGTAATTTTATTATAGATGTATGTAAGCGTAGTAAATAGGCTATTAGTTTATTACCTAATGTAAGCCTAAATCGTAAAGGTCATAAGTTCGAATCTGACTGACACCATAAATTCTTGTGAATTTATAGTTTTGATTGACTTAAAGTCAATATTATAGTCCGATGGTGGTGGTTTCAATTCCTCGCACTGTGCAAATATTCATAAATATAATTGTTCATGTGGTAAGACTGTTTGTCGGTCTGGATATTTTCTATGTATATTTTATATACATATATGTGTATAGTTTTACAAAAAAAATTATATGTATTTATATCAGTTGTCTAGTACCCACAACACACACTCTGCTTACCATAGGACTAGATGGCGCTGTGTTAATTGTCCAGGGTTATTTATTTGTATATTATATATGTATATTTTAATTATGTTATACATATACATATATTATTTTACTGTTGATACTATATGTTGTAAATTCCACCTTTATCATACCGCGTACCTACAAATGTAGCACAGAATAACGATTAATCACGTATCATTAGTAGGTTTGTGTAGTTTACGAAGGAACTAGTTCAGAAAAGTGCTCTCAAAGACGAAGTACGCGGACTAGTTCGTAAATATATCGATCTTTACTTCATAGTTCACTTGAAGAAACATAAAAAGCCGTGCTAAAAAAACAAGAACACGAGTTTGTGGTAAATAATACTTACTTGCCTTTCTCTGAATGGATTCGGGAGCGAACGAACTAGTTAGCCAGACCACTGTGAACTCCCAGACCAAAAAAATAGACTACTTTTTTATCCTACGTGCGAACTAGATTAAGCGATCCTATTGCGAATTATTACGCGCAAGGCTTATAATGAGAGGCCTAACCAAAGAATATAGCATATTATCTATTGAATATACTCAAGACGGCCTAACGCTCAACGCAGTCAAGACGAAGGTGCAGTGAACGCGGCAAATCTCCATATACGGAAAACTGCGCAAACCAGTAAAGTCTTACTTACGCCGGTATTGTAAGAAAATAAAACGATATGTCATCTGTAAATAGTCTTACCTACATAAACACTATGGTACTATAAACCTTGTTTGAAAATAAACCTTATTGGTGTTTGTATGGACTGATAAAAGCCATTTGATAAATAAATCCCTCTTGATCGGTAATTATTTAATTTTGTTTATAATTTTTAATATATAATAGGGTTTACATGTTTGAAAACATAAACCTTATTATTATGAATTAATAATTATAGTATCATAAATGAAATAATTAAATTAAATAATAATGTTTACTACAGACCTTAGCAATTCATAGTTTTAGTTACAATTTCTTAAATCTAATGTTAGTAGAAGCAAAAACATAATATTAAACCATTTGCATGTAAGGGATAAAAGCAAAGATGTTCGTTGTGGCCTATTCAAAATAATCATTGTTTTGTTAATAAAGTACGATTAAAAAATTTTTTCATTAAGTTTTTTTACGGCCCTGGAAATTCCCTTTAGACATGCGGTGAACAAACATTCCTAGTCAATTCGTGTCAAAAGTCAACCACATTGAATTATACAATAAATAAAATTTAAACCATAAAAAGAATTATCTGTCTATCTAAACGGATAAACTTAATTAAGTTCGTGTTTAAAATTACATACTATAAGTACATATTTAAACTTTTTTGTATAGTAGGTATAAAAAAAATATAACACGTCAACAACAAAAATTATTATTTTGGATTAGCACCAGTCAATCAGGTATACAGGCAAGGATTAGTCATTCCGTAGGTGCCTACTGACACAGTTGTACTATAATCTAAACATTTCACTATTTGAACTTTGAAAGTAGGTACACGGTACACTTTTCACAAAGGTCATAAACTTTTAAATTTTATATCTTTGGGAACTACTATTTTTAGCAAACCGTAAAAAAAGACATGTAGAAGTATATAAAATATATACACATAACTATTTATATATTAAAAAACTAATTATTTGTACTATTTTAGAAAATTAAATTAAACTATTTAGTAATATAATCAATTTGCATACTCACCAAAAATGTCCTCCCAAGTCATAGAATGGTCTGAGTCTGCGTTCGCGCCGTCCATCTTCCACTTATAACTTTAACTATAAGACACACCTAACTAATAATTATATTTAATAAGTATTAACGGAACAAAAAACACAAAAATGTCTATTGAATTCACCAAACTCAAAGCTACATATTAACTAAGTACCTATTTAATTTTGTTGACAAACAATAAACATCGCGTTAAATATTCTCGCGGAAGCGGAACGAAACGCACCACCGAAAGATACGCCTGTCGACTCGTGAATGAATTTAAAAAGGCCGCAGACCGATGCCGCGGCCTCCCTCAGGTCTCCGTCCGCGGTTCCGAGCCTCCTCTCGCTTCGCCCTAAGAATATATATAGGTATTCTATTTTGTGAATATACCTTAATACATAGTTTAAATACTTGAATAACTAACTCTAACGTAGCCATTTCTTACTTCCAACCAAATGCAGGAATGTATATTGTTTCCATTGCACTATGCACTTATCATCAAAGAAAGTGTGGTTGATGATGAGATTTTATTCACAAAATATAAAACAGTGTTCTTCATCAACTGAATAGAGAATGCATTTGTAACTATAAATATACCTTCACGACTAGTATCCCAGATGGGATGTCAGGGATTAGCAACTGTCGACATTGTGGTGGAAAGCAGCACGCTGAGTTTATTAAAACATTAACTGTAACAGTAATCTTTAGGCAAAACTAAAAGAGATTTAAATTTGTTATTGTTCCGCAAAGTTCAAAATCAAATATCGGAAATTCATGTTGTATTTTTTATTTGTTTCGGTATTTCATTTACACTACGTAGTGCACCCGCCTGTGCGTTTACGCTAGCACGGCACCAGTGGAGGATGATAAGATCATGAGGTCAGGTCAGTTAGCCCATCGTGACAAATTCATCAGGAATTTATCACGAAGGTTTCCAGGGGGAACAGAGTGGAGGTCAACCTGATATGGTCCATTGCTAGTAATAGGGTCATGAGTCCATATTAATAACAATACAGATAATATTCCTTCCCGTATGTAGAGGTAGCACCAACCTTATGAGAATTGAACTAAAACTGAATCAGTGTAATCAATCATTACCTATGATGCTTCCAAAAAGAAAAGTTTAAATAGTTTAACGCAAAAAAATATGTTTTAATTAAGGCAGTCTGCAATGCAAACAATTGCTTGCAAATATGCCACGATGAAAACAAACGGTTACACACATATTCACATTACACATACTCATACAAAAATACTTTGTTCCTAGTGATGCAAGGCTGCAAAGGCGATATAAAAAAGAAGGCAAAAGAATGAAATAAATATTCTCATGAGCAGTCAGATTAACCTTCAATGTTGATGGAATAGGTTGCAAATGTCGATTTACAATTAATGAGGATCATAGCCTATAAGATGATGTATATGTATTATTTTACATATTCAAATGTCTTTCTGTCTAATTGTAATGGTGTATTAAATATATACATATACACCATACAAGCGGCTTATATTTTACCAAGCCCATTATATTCATACTGGAGTAAATGAACAAAATGTTTAAATGTGGAGTCTCTTTCTAGAATTTGTTTCATAATTCCGTATATTGAATATAAAATGATACTTATTCCATACATTTTACGATTGCTTTTACATTGTACACGGAATGAAATTTATTTTGCCTAATGTTTTACGAAGTCGTTACATCTGATAAAGACCTTCATTTTTTAAGGCATTGCATTTAAAAGATGTAGAAAATATGTGCCCTATTATGAGAGTTTCAACCATAGACTATTTATATTTGACAATCTTGATGTCATCTACGACTTTCGTTGGCGAGCATTGATCGGTTTGATTCTTCATCTATTTTACTAACATAACAACATGGCGATCTTGTAATCAGTTGTTGAGTATGGTGTAATTTTTATTTCAAACATTTGAAATACAGTTCAAATACGTATACATATACCGGTGACTCTTTACTTCTTTTATTGATAATATATTGTGTATAATTATAACTGTTCAAAACCATTACTAGAGTACGTACAGATATCTTTGGTAATAGTTTGTTGAATAACTTTTTAGCCGTTAATTGCATTTTCTATTCACATTGCACTGCACGTTGTCTTTTATTAAATTATAATTACATGTACCTATGTTCTTGAATATAACATATCATTTGTTTACAGTTGTTAGATGAGTGAAAACGCACGCTATTAAATATAATAATATTTTGAAGATATTTGAACTTTGTTGGATTTCTTCGTAATTTCCTTGATGTTCTTATGATGCCGAGACGAAGTACAGAGGTGGCGCAGCTTCCCATGCCGCCGAGGAAGAAAAATAAGATTGTAGAGGAACCCATAAGCTTAGATGTTAGTTTCTCTGATGATGAGGCATTACCCCCTGGTATAATATTTACTGATGTTCAGCAGAAGAAATGGCGTATAGGAAAACCTATTGGTAAGTGTTTTACTACAAAATATATCTTCTTTTTAAATTGTTTCATTACTTTTACTAGATTAAGGCAAACAAGGTGATGGACTCACTAATAGATAGTGCAACCGTGGCCAAAGTACATGAACATCATTACAGACATCGTTGGTAACACCTTTAGTACTAATGTGTTGATATTACTCAGGACTCATGCCACACATGCCTAAACTCCCTGTGATTTCACTGGCTTAAACATAAAAAACAAGCTTTTTGACAGTAAAATAACAGTCGAAAGTGAACATTATTTATTCACATAAGATTATTCTGCCCCTTGTGCTCATCATATTTATTATTATCATCTCGACCATGCACTTTCAGTTAGCTACTTTAGTTGAAAAGACTTGTCAAGATATACCCACATAGATGACCTCCACCATTTCTGCCTTGATTTATCAATATACTTCACTCAAAACACTAAATACTAACTTTAAAATAAAATTAGGGCTATTACTCATGACATCTATTTTGTCATATCATGTTTGGATATATTTCTTGGAAATCCTTCATTAGTAAATATATAATAAGAACCTGTATTTAAAACAGCTTGTCAAGAGTGAAGGGGTTAGTAAATATTGAAGAATGGGCCGATTCCTAGCAATATACCTTGTCATGTCAACCTCCACACTATCCTTCTGAAAACCAAAGTGTTTTAGTACCTGTTGGAATCACCATTTTACACTGACATTGTTCCATTAGTGACTGCCAGTCACCATACTGCTATCATATATGAAAAAATAAAAGTTTCAGAGAATTGGGCCAAGTGTCTTGATAATTATAGATTATTTCTCTGCCTTTCACTCATTTTAAAACATTATCAAAGGTAACAATAAAAAGATAACATTATTATAAACAAAAAAATATCTTATCTTAAATTGCTCACAGGCATATAAACAAAATATTTTTATAAACCCTTTTATATTAATGAAAAACAGAATGTTAATAAATTAATATAAAAACCATAACATATATATAAAACATATACCTACATAAATAACCCATAACTTTTGAAGGGGAGAAGGAAGCAAAAGAAATATGTTTGAATAACAAATGTTTGATTTTCTTATGTTTATTACAAACTGAATCTCAAAATTATTTAGTAACATTCCTAAGTTCTTGTGCACATCATATATTCACCAAGCAGTCCAGCTAATATAGTTGAGAAGAACTGGCAAGAAATACAATGAACATTTTGTCTTTTATACTTATTTCTTTTTTTTTTTTATTATACCTTTTTCTTTTGGATTAGATAGTCTGTTTCTGACTCTGCCTATTCCAAGAGGACAAAATTAATATGCAAGTTTATTTGTAGGCCGAGGCAGTTTTGGGCGTATATATCTGGCATCAGATGATGTTGACACAGAGGTAACAAAAATGAATGCTAGATATGTGATAAAAATAGAACCACACACAAATGGGCCACTGTTTGTGGAAATACATTGTTTAATTCGATCTGCGCAGGCTTCTAAAGGTTAGTGTACATATTCTATGGTATTCATACTAATACTATAAATTGTGGCTGTTTATTAACTTCTCATGTGTGTCCTTCACTATGGAGTGACGGTTTGTGCATTACAGTCGCTAGTAATAACTAGTTTGTCTAATAAAGTAAAAAATTTCTTTATTTTATGATTTAATTTGTTAAAAGTTAATGCATTAGAATAAATTATTCTTCAATAGTATTGTGAGTTCAATTCACTTGATTCACTTTGTATTCAGTGTCTTTGTAATGCAGTTTTTTATATACTATGGTGGTTGCAATCAAGTGTAGGCCGTCTAATGACAAATTGTAACCATAGAGTTTTATTTCGCAAAATAAAGAACTACTATTTGATAATATTGTTTTTTTCTTGCAGTAAATCTATGGCGTCAACAAAAGAAACTGAAACGCCTTGGTATGCCTGTTTACATTGCTAGTGGATCATTCACAGATGAAAATACAGGAATGAAATACCGTTTTCTAGTGTTACCCCGATATGATTTGGATCTGCAAAAAATTATAGCCAGAACAAGAGTGTTGGATCTGAAAAATGTTCTAGTTCTCGCAATACAGATATTAGATGTGTTAGAATATTTACATAGTCAGGGTTATACCCATTCAGATATAAAAAGTTCCAATCTTATGCTTGGCTTTGTTGGATCAAAATTAGGACAAGTTTCTACCAAAGTCAAGATAACACCATCTTTCCAAAAAGAAACTAAAGCGGTTTCTGTACTATCCGGAAAACATAGGAGAGCTAAAAGTGGAAAATCTAGAACTTCAAATTACTATGATGATGAAGACTTTATTATTAGGGATTATAAAAGTCCAAGTTCTGAAGATAAATCTGAAAATGACAAACGTTTGGCAAATGTTAAACGGAAGTTGAGAAAGATACTCTCTGATAGAGACAGTAGGACCTTGCACCGACATCATGCTTTCAATTTGAGACAGTTGTCAAATTATGTAAATTATGAAGATTTAAATAGCTCTGTTTGCTCTGATCAGTCATATCAAAGATTATTGGATGACTTTGGAAATAATTTCATACGTACAACTGAGGAATTCAGAGAAACTAAGAAGAGAAATCAACATAAAGATTATGAAGACAACCCAAATGACCTGTATAGAGAAGCCATACAATCACAGTCTAATGGACAAATTTACTTATTAGATTATGGATTAGCTTCGAAATTTTTAGATGCCGATGGCAATCACAAAGATTTTGGTATGGACGCGAGAAAGGCGCATGATGGCACACTAGAATACAGTTCAAGAGACTCGCATATTGGGGCTCATTCTCGCCGTTCTGACTTGGAGACACTCGGCTACAATTTACTAGACTGGTTAACTGGTACCCTGCCATGGAAAACTGCTGAAGTACTTGCTGAACCAGATTTGGTACATGCATTAAAGAAAAATTTCATGGGAGACATAAAGTTACTATTGAAAACTTGTTTTAAGACTGAATTTTTTCCACAATTTATGGAAAAATATTTGGAATATATTACAAGTCTAGATTTCACTGAACAACCAGACTATGATTATTGTAGGAACTTATTTAGAAGCGAGTTGTTCAAAAATAATTCTGTTGGTGATAAAGAGGTGCTTCTCAACTTTGCAGAACCACCTATGTCACCAATTAAACGAAACAAACTGTGTTATTCAAAAAGATTTGGTAAGAAAAATACATCTGATTTCATGTCAAGAAATGGTATCAAAACTACATATGAAAGAGAAAATATTTATTCCTTAGAAAATGATCTTAAATTGGAACTATTGAAACAAACATTAAACTGTTCTAGTGACGGCATACGTAAACCCTGTTCTTCCCGAAACTTCTTTATATCTGACGCCGATTTGGTAGCTCGTCTTAAAAAGTCATTAATGCCACTCGACATTCTTGGCAAGAAATTGTCTCCAAAAAATTTACGCTCCAAAAAGAAAACTATTAAGAAACGAAAGGGTGTTAAAAGGCACAGAAATAGTATTGGAAAGTTTGGAAATTTTATGGGCTCTGCAAGGCAATTCACTTGGGCCGAAATATTAGCTGGCAATCCAGAAGATATAATCCGTAAAGAGCGCAATGTTACTATGATTGATGAAGATGATGACGAAAACAATTGCAAATACAGAATTAGAAAGTTATCCAATGCTTCATCAGACAGTTCTACTGATCACCTTCAATCGCCATTGATGCAAAAAGATTACTTTCAAGGAACAATTCCTACTTATGCAATGAAGGAAGTATTAGCCAACTTCAGGAAAAGGGCTACGGGCAAAGTTACTAAAGATTCTGAAGACTGTTCACAAGGTTTAGAAGGTTATACTCCAGCTATGATTAAAATATATAGAATAAAAGAGAAACAGGAAGCTAAAGAAAAACTTGATGCATTGAAACAACAGAGCTCGGCAAAAAAGGAGATAGTGGAAATACAACCAAGGTGTACAAGATCTATGAAGAAGAAGAATGTCCAGATAGTTGAACCGAAACTGAGGGTGACAAGAAAAAAGACTGTGAGTGTGGATAGTGAGAAAAAAATAGACATAGAAGTAGTTACTCCTAAGAAAAATAATAAAACAAGAAATAGAAGCAAGGCTGCTAACAAAAAAGAAGTTGAAATTGTTGAAAAAGAAAAATCGCCGCCCAGAACTGCTAAAAGTAAGTAAATTTAAAGGCAAAATATATTATTCATGTAAATATATTGACCCCTTTATGCAAATCATATTTTTCAACTCAACTTCAATTGAGAAGAACTGGGAAGAGACTTGACTTGACTTTTTTCTATATAGTATGTGTATATGTAAAGTTTGTAGAAACTCCGCTAGAGTAAACATGTATGCACTATTTTATAATTATCCATTAAAAATCTGATTTACTTTCAGGAAGCAAATGCTCCGTTGTCGTTCCTACCAACCGGAGACGCCTTCGCAGCAGCAAGCGCAAGCAAAACTAATTAACCTATTCTATTACTGTGTCGACATTTTTTTAATGTATTGTAGATTTATTCTTTCGGAACTCAGATAAAGGAACAAACTTGCAGCATATACAACATTATTTGTATGAAATATGTAAAGTAAGCTTTCACTTGAAGAGCACGTAATGTACACATATTGAGAATGAGCAGGTTTATACTAAAGTCTTCATAGTTTAGCTGTTCTCATACGACTTAACGTTTGTTTCACAAATAAAAGTTACTCCACACAACTCCAATTCTTTCTTACCAATGGCAAAATGTGATTGATAAAGCAGTTTAACCACTTTCTACATTGGAGTCGCTGGTTTGTTCCTTATTCTGAACTCTAAATAAGTGTTGTGCCGCCTCATGTCTGACAATATTGCTGATGATATTATTTCGTCATTCATTATAATAAATGTAATTCTAAATACATGATAAAATGATGCAATATTTATTATTGATACAATTGAAATCGGAAATATTGACAAATAAACAGCATCGCCTTACATCAAGAAAAAAGTAGAAACGGATCGCTATATACAATAAATGTGAAAACATGTTTTTTAGAAGAATTTTAATGGGGCATTCATAAGATATGTTTTGTATAATTTTTGTATGATTTATTATATTAAGTAATTGATCTTTTTGTTTTGTTACACATTAACTATAACACTGATTTAACGTAACATGTATTGATCCTGTGTTCCGTCTTGACTTTTTTTTGTTGATCTGTATCATTTTGCATATACAAAAAAAAAATCGTTACATTGTCTTGTACTTGAAATCATTATTGACAAATGTATATTATAAGTGTAATAAAAGTGAGTTGAATTAATTTCGAACTTGGATTCAATGTAAATATTACGTTGAAAATAAATTCAAGTTTATTTGATCAGTTTTTATAATGTTATATATACACACCTGATTAAACTTTGTCCGATGTCGCCATTACTGCATCGGTATCTGCATTGGTTATTGTAATCATAAATATACAAATTTAGAAATCATTTTTTTTAGTTTTAAAATAATCGGTGTGAGGAATTAACTCGATATTATATAAAAGCTTAGTAAAATTTATGAATTTGGAAAATTTGACTGATTTACAAAATATGTATTGTAAATTTACAATGTGACTAGTATTTACTTATTTAAAGTATCACAAACCATCAATCCATAATCCTTTCGTACCAATAATTTGCAATACAATTATATATATTATATGTACTTAACGATTTAGGTATGGACATTTTTTGGCTAAATACCTACTACAATAATAGTACCCAATGCTGTATGTAAACATTTATTTATATTAGAAATTTAATTATTCTTTTTACTGCCATATTTAATTTAAAAAATCTTGCATTTTATTGACTAAATACTGCAATGAAAATTAGTATAACTATAATAAAAGCATTGCATGTAAATTACTTACGTAAATATATATATTTCTTGTCTGTGTTATGTTATGATTATTTTCCATGACAAATTCAAGATTTTTTTTATTAAATATGCGTAGAATATAAAAATAATATTTATAATAACTCAATTGCAAATGGTACAAGTAAAAATGTATGGGCGTCGGGCTCGGGTATTCCATCAATTGATATCAATGATATAATTGGCTTAAATATTTTTTTGCATTTAATATTTTAACGTAACGCGGCAAAATGCCCGTTTCGAATATTTTCTTGTGTAATTCTCTTGTAGATGATTAAAATGATTTTGTTATTATGTATTTTGCGGTGTTTATATTACTATCCCTTTTATGTATCCATGTTTTTCGTATAAATTGAACCTAGCAAAAATTGTATCAGTCTGGTAATTTTTATTTTATATAGAAAGAAATATATATAAATAACTAGCTGTTCCGGCAAAAAAAAAATAGGGGTGGACTACCCCTAACATTTAGGGGGATGAAAAATAGATGTTGGCCAATTCTCAGACCTACTCAATACGCTCACAAAATTTCATGAGAATCGGTCAAGCCGTTTCGGAGGAGTATGGGAACGAAAACTGTGCCACGAGAATTTTATATATAAGATAGAATATTCCATTACAAACGTATGACTACACTAGATTTATTAATGCGTAAGAAAAGTAATAAGAATTAACTAGGCATTTTGCTATTGGAAGTCAGTTGTTAATTTAAAAAATATACGTTAATCTGTGTGACCTGCAGAAAATGGTCTAGAAAATAACAATTTTGTTTAAAATGTTTATATTTCCTTCTTATTCAAAATGTAAAATCACCGAGGATTTTGTTTTCTTAAATAAAAAGGAAGTCAAGTCATCCTTTCCGAACAAGAAATATCAACCCCTTCATTAAACATCTCTTGTATTAATTTTTTTTTTCCTTCTGGTTGTGTTTATCCTTTTAAAGAAAGGCAAAGGAAACTATACACTTACAGCTATGTCTCCATGATATGAAATGTGTTGTCAATGTCAGACAGTCATATGTCTGTTATCTATCATGAATGCATTAATGGAATTTGGACAGCGTCAGCCGTCAACGCCGTCAAGTCGTCAACATCTATGCATAACATGTCTAAAAGAGTTGAATATAATTGAAATAATTTAATTTGTGGAAGTGAACTACTATGATGATAACCTAACGTTACAAATCAAATCTATATTGTGTACCAAAGCTTATCCACTACAGTGTTAGTGACAAGCATTTAACATAATATAAACCTAACTGTAAGAAATAACCCGACGTACATGACTATTATTGCATGACATAACCTTCGAATTGCGATTAAGTGATCAATTTTTGTTTCATAAATAAATAACAATGGATTATCAAAGAAAAAATGTTATAAACGTTGGTTCAAGGAAAAGTGAGGTGAGCTAATAGTTAATTAAAGTTATATTTTGTCATAAATTTGATAATCATAGGATATAAGATCACGTTAGGTTAGGATAGAGATATTGCATATATCATTCATATGTAATAAAATCGTACACGAGCCGCTTTGTACACAAATAAAAAATATTCGTTGTTTTATTCGTGTTACTAAAGTACTAAGGTTAAAGTATATTTTAGATTTTCAATTTCATTTCACTAATTTCTGTAAAATTTTGCATTTGTTATATTTCCAATAAATTCATAAACAAATCAGTTATCATAGGCGTATGAATTACCAGACATGGCTAGTGTTTAATATCGATTAAAACACTTAGTTAATACCTGGGTAGTTAACTGCTCTGTTAAGTAATGCCAGAGTTGCTCTGGGATCCAAACCAACTTTCATTTTATACTTATACCTCAAACAAGGAGACATACAAAGACTGTGTTAATTATTTCATTAATATATACAATAATATTAAATGTTATTTATTAATTAATCAATTGAACCATAATTTCAACTCTAGTCATGATAATGTAACAATATCAAAAAAATATTTTTAAATACAATTAAATTATGTATTCGTTGATTTATATGCATATTATCACTATTCTTACCCATTTATGAGTGCATTAGTTATAAATGCTTATTAATACATAGAAAATAACAACCTTCAAAGCGACGGCATAGCCTGAACTACATTTTTGTATGCCAATGTTAATATTAAACAAAATTGTTGACTAGTGAATTGGATTCCCATAAAATGATTTATTCTATTGAAATACATCTATCTCTGTCTACTGATACACAATATTTTCAATTATTAATACAGACAATAATTATTTTCTATGTTCATAATTTATCTGATTTATTCTGTGTAGTGTCTATGCATATTTCAAAGTATTTATTCTGTAAATATACAATATGATCATTTAGAGGTGGAGTGACATATTGACGTACTGAAAACTACAGATAAATGTGGAGATCTCAGTCCAGTACTAGGGCTATGTTTGCTAATAATAGTTACTCATTTATTAGTTTGCATAGAAAATTCTATCATATGTTACAAAAATATATATAAATCTCTATTAACAATAGATAGCTTTTAAACATGTAATTATTTTCAGCTGGCACTCATACAAACCAACTTTGTAATAGACAGCTTAAAGAAAGTACATCCAGAGAAGGAGTTCAAGATTGGTAAGTTCTCAAATAAATTCTAATCTGATCAATACAGAATGCTAGCCTGTAATGCAATAAAATTTAATTTTAATTGATACAATCATAATACATATTTAAAACTACATATATTAAATAACTGTGGACAATTTACACAGCGCCATCTAGTCCCACTATAAGCAGAGCTTGATATGAGTACTAGACAACTGATATAAATACTTAGATATTTTGTTTTTGTAAATACATACATACATAATATACATAGAAAACACCCAGACTGATACAAATAACCATAATCATGAACTGTGTGACAAATCGAAACTGCTCTTTTATCAAGGAAGGCTAATAGGCTATATTATAGCCTGTTATATGTGGGCTATCCAACACTAAAGGAGTTTTCATTATAGTATGCATAGAAGAGATTACTCCAAACAACTAAGCTAGCTCCTTAGAATGTTAATTACCTTTGTATTTTTTTCAGTTACCATGACAACTTTAGGAGACCGCATATTAAATGTGTCTCTGCCTAAGATAGGTGAGAAGGCACTCTTCACAAAGGATCTCGAAGATGCTCTTAGAAATAACACTGTTGACTTTGTAGCTCTATGTGCATTTTCCTTTTGATAACACGCCCATAAAAGACATCTTCCCACAACACTGCTCTCAAATCGGATGGACTACCAAAGGATGCAGGCGTTTTATCGCCACTGCTGTGGACGGTAGACCAGCTCTTAGTCTTTGAAAGGTAAGGCACACAATTAATAATAATAATAATCATCATAGTTAAATGGTGTAAGGAAAATGAATTATCAGTAAATCCTGATAAAACAGTAATTGTTCACAAAAAGGAAGAAACTTGACAAACAGAATATTGCCATCTCGACCAAAAACTGACATGGAACACACACATAGACAACATAACTCAAAAGGCGAAAACCTAAGCCGACGGGTAGCCCAGATGGGGAATCAACCCCAAATTGCCCTATGGCTTTATACAGCAGTGGTAGCTAAAGCTTGTATTATGGGTACTAGATTACTGATATAAATACATATATAACTTTTTTCGTTAATACATACATATTGTTCATAGATTACACCCAGACTGATACAAACACTCATACTCATGAAATACAAATGTTTGTGCCATACGAGCAATCGAACCTGCGACCATCGGACGTAAAGCGATGTGCTAAACCTAAACTTATTAGAAACTGTATCCTGCTACTAAATGAAGTAGGAAGCAGAAATAATATTATACTGAGATGGGTCCCCGGGCATTCAAATATTGAAGGCTAGACCACCAAGGTTGTCAATTGTGTTAAATCTTTTAAGTACCATCTCATTAATATAGTCAGTAATAAAATACTGCACTGTCTATATTAGAATATGTCCCTCTTCTTGAAAGGAAACAATACCCCAGAAAGATAATCACATAAATCCCTACTGATATTATAAATTTTCACAAATAAAGAACCTAATAAATTTTAATGAAATTTGACAAAGATACATTATATTATAAGGACAGACATAGGCTATCATTTATCTAAACATACTCTGATTAAAGATTCAATGAAGTAATAAAAGTTATTATTTTATTATGGAATAGAAACTCTACAATTTTATTATAATCTATAGGCCACTTCACTATAATAATACTTTAAACGATTTTACTCAAAATTGTCTTTAAAACATTGACAACGTGTTTTAAAGACAATTTTAAGTAAAATCGTTTGTTCGCGCCACTTGGCACATAACATTCTTATATTGTTTTAAATATTATGCCAGTAGGCAGGAAATTTATATCCATACTCAGCCTAATGTACTAGTGAAATAGCATGACTATACATTTATAACACTATCAAATGTAAAGGGGTCGTATCAGTTTATCAATGTATGAAGCTGTCGACGCATATTTAGTATCGGAATACGTTTTTAATATCATGTATAGATTAAGAATTATAATACATACATTACACTACCAGTCTATGTATCCCGGATGACATTGTTTACTAGGGATGCCAACCGCACGAGAAATCTCGTATAAATAATAGTACTTTAGCCTTATTATAAATCTTTTTCATCCTACTAAAAGTTTCTATGAGGTTTTGACCTACGAAAATCGGTTTAAATACGATGTTAAAGAATCAAATTGAACCAATGTATATGATTTTTTATTTTTTGTACAAGCCTAATTGTTTTAAGCTTGGCAACCCTGTAGTTTACCGTGCGGAGAAAATCATAATAGAAACAGGAAGGCGATTCGCATGATAGGTTTTAAAGTCTTTAAATTTTGTTTGTTACTTTATATATTTGGCGGAAGGCTATTTCATTATCTGATCTAATTATAAGATCTGTTTGTTGCGCCCTTCCCGTTCAATATCGCTGTCAACCTTGAGGTCAGAGTCAAGACGTACGAAATATTTGAATTTATCTACCCTTTTGAACGCTATACCATTTAGTTTGACTTCCGGAAGATCATCTGTATTTTTTGCCTCCGCCCTCAAAGATTACGACTTTATTTTATTATAAACCAGACCGTGCCAACTCGCATTTGACTTACAGATAGCCATAAGTTTTCCAAGTCTACATACTGACGCACTCAGAAGCACCATGTAGTCCGCATAACTTATATTATTTACATTCACATCGTCTATATGACAGCCGACATGAGTTCTACCTAAGCAACTATCAGGCCATTCATATACAGATTCATTTATTGTATAACTTTAGTCAGGTGGTTTATATATATTGACAGGGAAGATCCCAGAGATGCCTTAGTGCTGCGACAGGAGTTCAAAGAGCACACATTGTCTACACTTCCAGCCGGCTCCGTTATTGGTAAGCATCTTAAAGGTTTCACTAATGAAGTATAATCTTAATGTTATAAACGCGGAAGTTTGTGAGTATGGATGGATGGATGTTTGTTACTCCTTCCTTCCTTCCCGCCCTTCATAGCTTTTAGCTTCTGGGGCTGGGTTGATATCTCCCTGCTAAAGTGCATTTGTTCCGGGGTGGTGAGATTCCAGGTTTATACCCTGTGATTGTAATTGTATGTTTAAAAAAAGAATACTATGACAATATCCATCCAGGGACAAAAATACTTACACTCGGGGATAGTCGCATCCGGAAAAGAACCCAGAATAAAGGGACTCGCACCAACGTTCCACTGAAAATTAGTGCTGCAGCACCAACTATGTGGAGACCCTATCAACTTATAGCGCAACATTAGCTCATAAGTTATTTTCTATTTTACTAGATTGTATTATACAATGAAAGCTGAATAGACTATTATAAATGTAAAAGTAAATCAAAATCAGACAAGTCAATATATATTCCTAAAAAATACAGTAAAATTAACAACCTCCTTCTTTCTAGTCGGATGAAAGTACAGACGATGTGATTACGATATACTTTTTATAGATAACTGTTTGGAGTAAAGATAACGTAATCATAACACTGATAGTGATGATCTGAGATTAGTTCCCACAGTAACAAAATTTACTATCTATTTATGTGTCATAATAAATATTTGAGGGTCATGGTAGTCTAGCGGTTTAGCACACCTATACGATGTACGCGGGTTCAATTCCTTGCACGGCACAAACATTTGTATTCATGAGTACCTATGATAAATACATAGATACTTTTTTTTTTGGGATGGATGGGGTTGACAAAATCTTACATTGTGGCCTTTTTATCGAGGAGTCATCTTCGTGTAAAAAAATCATCAAATCTACGACACCTTACGCCCCGAGTCTCAGATTCTATGACGTTTATTTCAACTTTCATATCAGAACATAAAATTTATACTAGTAAAATGTGATGTAAAATGGACTGAAAATTTATGCATGGCCCCTTATGACAAACAAGTTGACAGCGCGTATGATAGAGTATGGTGACCTTCAGCACCATACATATCATAGAACAAATTGCGTAACATCAGTGATTAACAGACCAACAAAATAATACCACTTTCTTGTTCACTAGTGTTTATAATAAGTGATTTTACAAAATAAAAATGTATTCTTAACACGACATATTATGGTATCAAACTAAGTTTAATTAATCATTTTTAAATTTCGAATCTTCATATATATAAAAATTGACGGCCTCGGTGATTTAGTGGTGCAGCCTTACTTCCGATGGTCGCGGGTTCGATTCCTCGCAGGGCATAAACATTTTTATTCATGAGTATGATTGTTTGTATCGATTTCGGTGTTTTCTATGTATAATATAATAATATATATGTATTTACGACAAAAATCGATGTATTTGTATCAGTTATCTATCTAGTGCCCATAACACAAGGTTTAGCTAGCTTAACTTGGATGTAGATGGCGCTGTGTAAAATGTATTAAGATTATTATTATTATAATAAAAAGTAAAATATAGTTAGATAACAATGTAGGTTTTATATCCATACGGTTTTTTTCCTGCTGCTTATTGGCAATCTCATTATTTTAAACAATAGTTTTTTATATACCACGATGGTGGCACAGGACCCATCTGATGGTAAACGTAGTCTATGGACGCCTGAAACACCAGGGGTGTTACGTGCGTATAAAACATATACGACATTTTTGTTTATACAACAGTTTGTTGTAAAACCTTATGCAATTGCCATAAAACGAAACTAACTTTAGCTAAACGACATTTAGGTAAAATCAGTTTGTTATTATTACGTAAGCTTTTATTAGTGCTAACTCTTTTAAAATTGTGTATTATTTTCCTGGCATACATGCTATTTTCTTAAATGTAATTTAATAATAGTATGCTTATAATGAACCCAGGTACATCATCACTGCGTCGCACAGCACAACTCCGCAGCGCGTACCCACAGCTCTCTGTATTGGATGTGCGAGGTAATCTCAACACGAGGCTTCGCAAATTGGACGCGGAAGACAGCGAGTATTCCGCTTTACTGCTCGCAAGCGCTGGGTTACAGCGGATGGGATGGGCAGACAGGATTTCCAAGGTAAATATTTTGTTGTACATTCAAACTATAAAATAAAATGTATTAATCGATCTTAATCAATCGTGTGGATCTATTGTAAACTCTATTTAATTATATAAAAAATTGTATATTATGTTATGGTGTTTTTTCAATGTATCATAATGGAATGGTGCACCCGTTACCGCTGACGATTAACACTGTCGGACACCAGTGGAGGATGATAAGATAAAAATTAAATCAGTTCAATTAGCCCGTCTTAACCAAATCACCAGGAATTTGTCATGATGGTTTAATAGGGGAACCGCGTGGAGGTCAACCTTACATAGTACTATGAGTCCACATTATTAACAATCCCCTTTCCCCGTGCCATAGGTGTTGCCATGCGCCGAAATGTTATACGCTGTAGGGCAGGGGGCCTTAGCAGTGGAATGTAGAACTGACAACCATGAAATACTAGCTATGTTGGCACCGTTCAACCACGCAGACACTTACCTCAGGGTGCTGGCTGAAAGAAACTTCCTCAAGACATTAGGTAGGTCATAGTATAAAAGTAAAAATATAGTTAACAAAGCAACCTACTGTACCTACTGCACCTGACAATAGCCCAACAACCCTATAAAAAATATCAACTGATGATTCACAGGTGGTGGTTGCAGTGCTCCTGTAGGTGTATCTACGAGACTGAAACAACAAGACGCGCAATACAAGCTGACTATAACTGGTGCTGTTTGGAGTCTAGACGGCACGACCAAGATAGCCCACACTCTAGAACAAACGTTTGATCAAATAAAGAAATCATCTAAACACAAGCTAAGCCCAACGGAAGAGAACGGACAGAAGAAATCTAAACTCGAAAATGGTATTGAAAATGAAGCTGTCAATCCTATAGAAGAATTAAATAGACGAATAACTAACGGTGGACCCAATATGAACTGTGTAGATTTGAGAACCCCGGCACAAATAGAGGCTTTGAAGAGTGATGTGCAAGTGTTTTGTGGGCTGATCGAAAATAGTAGTATACCTATCGAGGTCATAGAAAAATGTGCCAATATTGGCATGGATTTAGCCAATATATTAATATCAAATGGTGCTATAGAAGTAATGAAGGTATCTCAGGATATAATAAGGAGTTCTACGGAGAAAATCTCATGATCATCATTGATTAATACAATTTATACAAATACAAAAGGTTTACACAGAAATAGATGATATATGGTGCTATATATTTCAATTTATATGAAAATTATGTAACCCATTGCGGAAGTAATTACAAAATTATTTTAAAGTGCCCGATCGAACTTAGGATGACAGTTTCAGCTAGTTTCGGTGTAAAAATCGGATTTTCTGTTTCGTTTCGTATTGACCATAACCATATTTTTGTTAGTAGTAATTAAATGATTTGTTGTCACTAGACAAGGAGACTAATATTCAGACGTAATAATTCTACTTATAGAAGCAAATATTTAAAAAAATTAAAGGTATAACAAGAGAAACCTTAAAAACGTTTTCGCCGAAAGTCAAAAGGAAATGCAGTTTTGGTTGTAAATTTTATCGACACTACTTGACAGCGAACCTCTTATAAATATCAGTATATTTTTGTCAATTCTCTACACCTTTTTAGGCATCAATTGATAGAAAATGAAAACCATAATTAATTAGACAAATGCCATGTTCGCCATCCCGATACAGACTGGTAAAAGTAACCTGCATACATACACCTTTTTTTTACTTGGGGAATATCCCTCTGGGAGACACGTCCGTCTTAGGGGTTGAATGAACGGGTATTGTGAGACTCCTAATTACTAAAAACACCCGGTATTCCTCCTCGCCACCATAGTGCCGGGGTCGCAGGAACGAGTTCGCAATCGACCGCATCTCACACACTATATTGTGTTGCACATGGTGCCTTTTATGCATCGCCATTCCTGAGGAATAGGTCTCCATGTCCTATTATTCATCATCACTACGTCGTACTACATATTAGATTGGAATACAACATGTAAAGCAAGCTGCTTGCCGGTAGAATTAGCTAAAGGAGAAATTACGCAGACTTACTTTCTCTCACATTGCTACATATATTTTGATTCATATCTACGGGTTATTGTAGTTCTCTATTATGTTAAAATTTATAATTGTAAATATGTAATGGTGAAGAATTTAGTGATATATTTAATAATAATTTTCCAAGGGTATATAAGATGATCAAAAAAATTAAATAAATGAAATATTTTTCATACTATTGTATGTAAACTGAAGATCATTTATGTACAATTTTTTTGTAACACTTATTACTTACATACTTTTTGTAATTGTGGGAGAAATGCCATTCAGTCCAGGTAATAATTTTTACGTCCCTAATTAGCGACCTGCCATAATTTTTTTTATTAAATACTTTTTATAGATAACAAGCGGACGTAGGGGTAGGCCCTACGTCCGCTACTTTTGGTAACCATAGCCTACATGAACAGCACTATGGATATCATGCACCCGCGATACCACTATTGCGTTGCCATTCCAGAGTGAGACGTCATACCTATTATCATGAAATATCACTTTACTCCCTAAACTGAACAATTGATGGTATTCCTTCCGTATATAAGTACATAATTAATATAAACATTGTTAGAAATGTTGTTATACTCAATATTAGTAGTACGTCAATTTGGTTATTGTTGTATTTTATTATTTATGTGGATTGGGGGCTATTATAAGTACTTAATAGTCAAAATTGTTTTTAACATTAAATAAATTTTATGACTATGTGTTTTTTTTTATTAATATGTACCCATTTTTCTATGTATCCTGTTACTTTGAAGTCTCAGCGGTCTAGCAGTCTAACACAATACTTCCAATGATCGTACTTAAATAGAATGGTGCACCCGCCCGCGCTAATGGTATAAGCTGACGGGGCACCAGTGCAGGACCATAACATGAACACGAGGTCAGGTCAGTTAGCCCATCCTGTCAAATTAACTAGGAATTTCTTTCAGGGCAACCGTGTGAAAGTCAAGCTGAGATGATATATTGCTAGCTCATGACCCCTGTCATGCTCAGTCCACATTACTAATAATTCTCTTTCCCCCTCTATGATTGTATTGGTCTGGATATGTAAGCAGTTTTTTAGAGCTGTACAGCTGTTTGTTTTTAATTGGGATTAGATGGTGTTGTGTGGATTGCCCTGAGTAATTATATAATTCTATTGAAGTACATATATTATAATATTAATATTTTTCATAATTTTACATTTACATAGAAAAACGAGATAAACAATAATAAAAAAATCTCTGATTTCGTATAATATTTTTATTTCACAATAAAATCCTCAATCAAAACTCACAAGCATACTTAACAGTTGTGAACACAAAAACACTAACAAAATACACTAATTTCACCTGTCTCATGTCGCATTCTATCTGCGTGGTCTTCAGAAAACGGTGGACATTTTTAAATTTGTATCACAGCCAATGCTACTTTAAAATTTTAACAGGTCATTTTCATTGTTGTGAAGACATGATAAACTAAATAATTATATAAATAACAAGTTAAATAGCAGATACTAAAATTAACTACAAACTATTTATTCATACATTACATTAGATAATCTTATCAGAAAGTGAGAAAGAATGAAAGGTAATTAGGCATTAATATTAGAGATTGTAACATGTAACATTACAATATTACATACTCAATTCGACACGGTTCAATACTCACAGAATTGATGTTGGTGGTTTGAAATAGAGAGAAACCTAGCAGACAATACTAAAAAGGCACTTTCCGTTAGTGAGTACATAAACATTATTATACCACAGCAAAACTTATCTTGTTGTTTAGCCCAAAGAGTCCACTTTTCAGAAGTCATAATTAAATTAATTTGTATCGCAAAATATATTTAGCATCTTTTATACAATAATAACAGTAATACAATCTGAATATATGATATTAATCATAGTCAGTTATATTATAATATTTTATGGAAAACGTAATGCAATCAAAATACACTGGAATAAAATATTTAATAATAGTTTTCAAACAAATAAAATCAAAGTTTACAATTTTTATATATTGTATATTGCTTACGTTTGTAATGAAATAACTAAGTCTCATTCAGGCAATGAAATATGAATTTATAATTAATAATATAAATTTTCATTAATTAACACATTGCGTTCCTCAAACTATTGTATTTTATTTTATCTACCAAAACAGTATCCTACATGTTTGTAGGTAAGCAGGCTCTTAATGAAATTGTACGCAAAAACGGAACAGGCCTACATCTCTGTAACAGAAGTGTGAGACTTCATAAACAACAGTTTATTCTACATCCTCCTCTTGTAGTACATTACCGCTGGCTTTCATGTTTGCTCGGAGACGCTCAGACACCTCGGGCAACTTCTTCAAGAGTAGATGGAAGATTGGTGCTGGCATAGTTTGTTGAAGCACCTGTATAAGCAGTGTGTATATAGAAACTTATAAAATTCTTCTTAACGCTCTAGTTTCGCATTTTTAATTACCTAGGATTATTCTTATCTAATCTAATATTATAACTGTGAAAGTATGTTTTACACATTTATACATTATTTTATATATTATTTATATTATTATATATATTATTTTTTGGTATTGAGATATACAACTCTAGACATGGTTATGTTAATTTCCAGCGAAAGAATTTACAGGCGGTGTGGTGAAGGGTAATTTTTGTATGAAACTTTTTATTTATTATACCTCAAACTTTGTATTCATTATATTTGACAATATAAAAGCGCGATAAATTAATAAATCAATACTGAAAAACAATGACGGCGACACCACAGAAAACTGTTTACATGGCTACCTCAGGCTCACTTATTTCAGCCAGCAATCAGCTTGTTTTGTAAGCTGTTTCATTTGTAGGGTGCAGATTAGGCAGTGAAATTACAGTATAAGAGGCATATCTTAGTCCTCTGGAATGACAGATATGATATTGCAGGTGTCACATCATAATGGTTTGTCTATCTATAGATGACAGCTACTGCTTACCATCAGCACAGCAGGTGGGCCATCAGCTTGTTTGCCATTCCAATAACATAAAATAAAAAAGTTCTCTATGTACCAACAAGAATATAGAATTTAGTTTTGATACTCACACTAAGCAACTGCTGTGTCTGACCACATACCGCAACAGCTTGTCCGAGGTGCTCCACTCCGGCTTCCAGATCGCCAGCAGCTAAAAGCTCTTCACCTAATTGAATCTGTAACATTTATTATTAACAGTATAGATTTGTTTGTAAACATGACATTTAAAAAAATCTCTGTGAGGTTAGAGCTTCTAAAATATACTGAAATTGGTTTAAGTAATCAATTTAAAATATTTTGTTGGTCAGTCAAAGAACATTAATAGTATCCTAATTCTAATACACAATTTGATTTATTAACCAATTATCATAACTTTTTGTATTGGTCATGGAGAAAAACATAAATTAATGTATCATCCAGAAACATGAATGATTATGCTAGAAGATAGAAACTGTTTTTTAACTATATCTATGACATCAGTTATGTGTATATGATATTGGATAGATGAGGAGCAAGTTATTATGTTTGAGATCAACTTTTCAGCATTCTATTGGAACCAGGTCCATCATGTAAGAGACAGGCAAACTCCAATGTTTAAGGGGTCCCTTGGCAATATATGTCAACACTCACTCCAACCAAGCCTGCTAGTGCAACTTTATATACACATTCTAGTATAGAACTTAGTAGAGTTCTAGTCAGACCAAATTTTTTAGATTGTAGAGAGATTTTGCTGGTATACATGTCATTCTATTTATAATTTTCCAAAGCTTCTGAATTGTACATCATACCTGCTGCAAGAAGAACCTCTGCATAGCCTCATGGTCACTCATGTCAGGCAATGGGCCACCTAATGTGTGTGACCGTGATGAATTCTGATGTGCCTTCTGTCTGCCTATAATAAAAATTTCAATAAATATAGTAACCTATATAGTTCAATAGAAATGAAGGAAGTAGACTTTGCAAAAAGTTGTTGCAAGTGCCTCATTAACATGTTAAAGACCATATTGAACAATCTTATTTCTCATATAGGGAATGGCATTTTTTTTATTGTTAATTACACACATTATTTTTTAAATATTTTTAGTGTGCAATAATTTGAGGTAGACATTATTTAACCCCTAGATTTATATCAAAGTGGTCACCTGGTCCAAACATGTAAATTTACTTTAGTTGCGGAGTGACCCACCAGTGGCCATGCGGTCTTTAACATGGTAAGATTGAGCCACTAAGCAGCTTGCTTTAAATGATGTGTTTCGCTTGTAGGATGACATTAGGCAGTAATATTACAGTATAAGGGGCATGATATCTTATTCATCCAGAATGGCAATGCATAAGTGGTGCTGGTGCCATTCAAATATGTATGAAATAGTCACCACTTACCCTCAGGTGAACCTTCAACTTATTTACCATTACAATTGCATAAAAAAATGCTAAATTAAGAATAATATTGTTCTTTCATGGTTAATATGTTCCAGTATTTTATTCATATTATTGAAAGTGTCTCAGTCACCCATTAACAATTAAGTGGATAAAAAAATATTATATTGTAATATTCACATTCAGGCATTCATTTATAGCAATAAGAAAACTATGAACTTCGATCTGTCGTCTATTATTTATTTAGTCGTGAACATTTGGCAACCGCCTCAATGCCGCCGCTCTTACGTTATAGTTATTGAGTTTTAATTATTCAACTAAAACTTATATGACAGTTGTTAACTGATTACGGAAATACATAGTGAAAGAGAAAATGATTATTATATTTAGTGCACATTACTATAGTACGAATAGTAGTGGTGTAATTTAAGGTTATAACTTGCACAATGTCACAAGTGTGTCATAATATAATGTATCAATCTATGAATTTAAGTGATGGTGTATGGGTATCAATATTTTAAAGCAATGAATTAATAATATAATTATACTAACGTTCTCTCAACTTCTTTTTGAAAAGGGGATCCTTACGACGTTGTTGATCAAAATATACACAGTATCCAAGGAATAATGTTCCAGCTATTCCAGCTGCAATTCCAAGGGTAGTACGTGTTATCTCCATATTTATAACAAACCTAACGTGATTTATTTAATTAAAAAGATTCCGTCTGTTACAAAATTTGGAATCAGCCATTTAAAATTTAATGAAATGAATGATATGATTTGAATTAAATGAAACTTGAATGAATGGTTCCAAATGAATGAATGAGTGACACTGAATGTGGGCAAATTTTCTTGTTACGTAACTGTTGGCAACTTTAATTCAGTGTTACATTAGTAAAATAAAAATGAGGAGGAAAACTAGAGAAAAGAAATAATTGGTTACGTTAGTGAGAAATAATAAAATTACTTAAAAGTATATCAACTTTATGTAACAAAAATTCTATTTACTTGTACATACAAAAATTTATTAATTTTAATTACATTTAGTGTTTGTTTTGATTACTGATAAATATTGTTGCCCTATTAAAAATTAACACTTGTACACATGCCCAAAATTCATCTTTTAAAAATACTTTACCTATTTAAAGAATAAAAATTTTTATATATGCCGAAGGATCCTTGCAAAAGATTTGCCTGTGATATCCAGAAATGCCTTGTTGGTGAGTTTTATTCATATAAATTTATTTATTAACCTCTTTGCCGACAGCCGACATCATATCAGTCGCCATCTTTGCTTCAATCTTTCAATCGCACTACGGATTTGCGGGCGTTTCATCGCCGTTTTTTCAATGTATTGCTCAAATAATTCGTTATTGTTCTTGTCGAAAGCAACGTAAAAATTTCAGAAATCTCGCGTAACAGTTAAGTGTAAAAATGAGCTTCTTTGGATTCGGTCAAACGGCGGACATCGAAATACATTTCGATGATGCTGACAAACGAAAGGTTGCTGAAGTGAAGACGGATGAAGGCAAAAAAGAGAAGTTGTTACTATATTACGACGGTGAGACTGTCTCCGGCCGCGTGAATGTCACTTTAAGGAAGCCAGGATCAAAACTGGAACATCAAGGTATCAAGGTCGAGCTTATAGGTCAGATTGAATTGTTCTACGACAGAGGTAATCACCATGAATTTATATCGTTAGTGAAAGAATTGGCCCGTCCTGGTGATTTATTACAGCATACGTCGTATCCTTTTGAGTTTGCTAACGTTGAAAAGCCGTACGAAGTGTACACAGGCGCTAATGTCAGACTGAGGTACTTCCTGCGAGCGACAATAATACGCCGCCTCACAGACATAATAAAAGAGGTGGACATTGCTGTTCACACGCTATGCAGCTACCCGGATGTGCTTAACTCGATAAAAATGGAAGTAGGCATAGAAGACTGTTTGCACATAGAGTTTGAATATAACAAATCAAAATATCACCTGAAGGATGTTATAGTAGGTAAAATCTACTTCCTTCTTGTTCGTATCAAAATTAAACATATGGAAATATCGATTATTAAAAGAGAAACAACTGGATCTGGGCCTAACACTTTCACAGAGAATGAGACAGTTGCTAAATATGAAATAATGGATGGGGCTCCAGTTAGGGGGGAGAGCATTCCTATTAGAGTGTTTTTAGCTGGTTATGACCTCACACCCACAATGAGGGACATTAATAACAAGTTCTCTGTGAGGTATTATTTAAATTTAGTCCTAATGGATACAGAGGATCGCCGTTACTTCAAACAACAAGAAGTGACGCTGTGGAGGAAGAGTGATAAGTCTAGACTGCCATTACACAACCCACACATCCCACAGACATTGTCACATCCGGCCCACACAGCTACTCCGAGACAACTGAGTGCTTCAAGTGAAGATAATTCTGCTAGAGGTGTATCACCATTGCATCCAGAGAACTCTGTTCAAAGGTCTGTTTCACCATCTGCAGTGGAGGAGGACAAACAGAATGGCCCTAGTGAAATGGAGCGAGAGAAACCTGATGTAATAACAAACAAGTTATCAAATGCTCATATTCATAATGAGATAGAGGATACAAGTGAACAACCTGGTGAACCAATTGATGAGAAGCCTGTGATTGTAGAAAAACCGTTAGTAGCGGAAAAACCAACAATATCTGAGAAACCTCAGATAGCTGAGAAGCCACAGTTAGCCGAGAAACCTGTACTAAACCGAGATACTGTGGAAGCTAATCCAAGTCAATAGCCGATATGCACATGCTCGGTGGGCCTGACGGCTCCCGACGAGTTGAACTGTATGTTTTCTTACTCAAGAACAATTGTTTAGAGAACTGTAACTGTAATTCACATTACTGAACATGTATATGTAGTACTACACATATTATTTTTATGTTGAGCATATTTATTAACAACCAGTGTTTCTGACAGAAATTATAGAACATATTATAAAATTAGGTGTACATTGCTATAAGCCTTCTACATAATAATGTTTATAAATAGATCTATATTGATTTATTACAAGATGAGAAAGTAATAAAGTTAATAGTTAGTATGTATAAATAAAAAGCAATCCTACTGTGGTTGATAGAGATATAGATAATAATTGAAAAAAGAAAACTTTTTATTGCTTGCAATTAATTCAGTTTTAATAAAAATAATATACACAGATATAAATATACTTCAGTTGTCTTTGATTCAATATGCTTTAAGTTGTATTAATGAATGACACAATAGGATAAAACTATAGAAGGTAGTTTCCTAGTTTGATAGAGAAAATAATATCAACAAACTGTCCTTTGTGTTCATTGTCAAGGAAATATTGGATTAAACATTTTCGGAAATATATTAAAAATATAATTTTTAAATAGCGTTTTTTATGAACTCCATATTAATTATTAAAAGTTTTCCTTGTTTATGAAAAATTATAATTACAGCTGAATAACCCTGTAAACTTTGATCTCTACATTAATACAGTACTTTTTTTATCTATTGGATTAAATAGAACAATAGTATAAATTTAATTTATTTTTACTTATATTGAACTTGGAAAGACAATATCATTATTTATTTATGCTTACATTAATTTAACATTAGTACATTTATTTACTGTAAATGTAATGTGCATTGATAAAATCTTTGAATACTGTATTATCACTAAGTTTATCATAAAATTGTTGTTCACTCAAACAACAAATCTTATTTCTGTTATTTATAACTTATTGTTGCATTGTTTATACATATTGCTCTGTTATGTTATGGTATATATATATAATAAAGATCAAATTTCAGGCATGCAAATATGTAGGTGTAAAATATTTACAAACTAAGAAGGGATGATGTTAACCTGATCACACATTTTTATATAACAACTTATTTATGTTTGAAAGTACATAGCGTCTTCTTTTAATAACATCGCTTAACGAAAAGGCTATTTATTGTAATGTATTTAAAGTAATATTTCACAGGCTAAGATATATGTTATGTAGGTAGCAAAAAAATCACTTGAAACATTAATTTTAATGAAATAATATGCACTTCACAAGAAGTTTTTCATTGACCGCATCACCGGCTTGACGTGGATTCACATTGCATTTTGATAAATTTGAAAATAATGTAAATTTTGTATAGGATTGTGTAAGTCATTAAGATATTTCAATTATATTATTGTTAAAGGTAATAGGAGATTAATTCGCGGTTGAAGATCTGTTAATGAAGTGTGATTAGTATAGATGAAATAATATATAGAGACACATACTAACAATAACATAAGATGATGTCCAATATTGGTATCATGTGAGATAGCTAATAGACTGTTTGTATATGCTAAGTAGCTAGCACTGATACATTGTAATTGTCCTTAATACCTTTTTTTATATTATGTTTCAATGGTTATGAAAAAAAAAATTCAAGGCATATTCAATAATTATGTAATAAAGACAATGCAAGTTAATATTCCTAATTATTTTTCTAAAAAGTTGTAATGTAATCATGACGTTGTAGATGTCAGGTTAATATGTTGTGTCTTACTAGTGCCATCAAGCATCATATTTGTAATTAATTTGCACCATACAATAACAAACTGTGGCTACTGGATAATAACTAACTTGATTTTCAAATTTAAACATATCATAGCGTTGTTGAAAACAATGCCAACACATAAAATGTTGCATTTGATGGTACCTACATCAATTGAAATCAATTGAAACCGTCAAGAGTAGTTCGTTTCAATTGAACTTTTTGTCGACATATTAGGAAATTATAATGATCCCATAAAACAGGAAGTCTGGATGGGGTACCTCGTTGATCTTATCAGGTGGTAGATTTCCTGATTAAATGTAGATTTGTATGGTCCCCGGGCGCTATATCCATGGAGGCGTAAGTTCTTGTTTCTCCCCTCGTAGTAATTTCAAAATGTTTGATGGGGCTACGGCTGCATAAAATCCTAAATGAATAATGGTAGAACACCCCTTTGTAAAAAACTCATTCTGGCAATATACTAAGATTAAAGGTATTCGATTCCAATTAAAAACATCTCCTTCATCCATTTTGAAATAAATATAAGCACAACGAAGTTTAGAAGACGTTAATACCGTAACTAAAAAATGACAACGCCGATACAATTTTAAGTGTTTATTTATATTGAGTTATTTTGGTAATAATGAATTATCGTGATTATATTGCTATATGGTGCCACTGCTACATAACACCATAGGTATCGCTAATGAAATTTAGTCCACATTATGGTCTAATGATTAATGAATAATATAAACTTAGTATGTTTTAAACAATTATGAAAATTAGGAAAAGTCCATATTATATAGCTTTCTGTTTATATCTTCAGATTGAGTTAAGGACTATCTTATTGTATAAAAAGTTATCTTTTTTTCTTATGGGATTAAGAACTTGTGTCTATTATATCATATTGTTAATAAAATATATGTATAAATTGCTGATAACTGATTTTTATTTAAAATCTTATAAGCCTAAGGTAAACTGCAATCATGGAATGAAACAGAGTTCTATTTTACGATGTGGATTGCATGTTTACTATATTCAAAACTATGTAATATATATATATATATATATATATATACTATTTCTAACTGTACAATTGTTATGAAACGTCAATAAGTCAAAGAACATCACAACATATTCCATATCTTCATTGCCTAGGTCTCATACTCGTAAGAGACGGCGCCAAATATTTTTTATCACTCGTTTTAAAGACGTATAGTAAATTGTTATTTTTATTTATTAGTGTAAGCAAATTTTACCCGCGACCCTTGAGAAAGAATTTTTTGGTAGCGACCCGGCCAGCCCAGTGCTATTTCCAAAAAGAATGGATTTAGCGCTATTTCTTGAATTTTTTGAAAGTTGGATTCATCGGTATTTTAATTATCGTTGACAGGATCTACTCGTCCGTACGCCAGATAAAGCTATAAATATGACAGATAATAACTAGTGTTTTTTAATAGATAAATACGGCATGGTGCACATAACTTGCTGGTATATGCTGGCGGGGCACCAGAGGATGTTCATAGGTTAAGCATAAGTCATAACCTGACTGTAACGCTATCCTGGTGAAATTACCAGGACATTGGTTTCTAGGTCCGCGTAGAGATTGCATGAGATGCTACATCGGTAACAATAGTCCCCAGTAGGTGGTAACAATACCCCGTCCACCGTTGTAAATAATAATTAAAAAAACTGTTCAATTGTACACTATATGCTATTATAATACATTTTTATCAGAATTTGCAGTTATCACCATAACGTTTAATTCTTATCATATGGGCGTGTTTTAGGCTTGTGTAGTTCGCAGATGAATTAGTTCGGAAGACCACTCCGAAAGATGAACTATGCGACATCGCAGATAATTCGCACGATAATTAGTACTAATAGCCTACCCTTGAGGCCGCGAAAAAAGATATTTTTATTTACGGCCTAAAATTGATAACGATTTAAACAATACTATAGGTTTAGTTTGGAAGCGAACTAATATGCAAATGATCTGCGAACTGAATCGCGAACTATTATTCGCAAGACTAGTGTCTTTGGGTAGTCATTCATTTCACCACACTGCATGTCTGATATGATTTTATCACAAATCCTATTCCAATACTTCATGGATTTATATTATTAAAGATACTCGACTTGAATCGCAGTTTGGTCGCCGTATAGTCAACACTAGGCTTCCAAGCTATACCAGAACTCTATTCAAAGCCTTATGATGCCTCGTTAAGAGACGAAAAATGTGTCGCAATGTGATTGTAGACTTGATAACTGTCGAAATTTTGATCAGTAGAGGAAGTCGTAATGTAATGTAGTCGTAATGCTTCCAATAGTGATTGTCACGTTTCCGCTTTGATTATTTGTGGTCTCCTAATGGTAGCGGAATAAAATAAAATATTATAAATCTGTTAAGTAATGAAATTAACTTCCGCAAAATACACCTAATACCATAAAATATGTAAATGTCATTGTTTATCTTTGCTGTTTTTTTTTTATTTTATTGAAGATAATGGAAAGATGCACCCGCCTGCAGTAACGGTCTACGCTGGCTAGTTAGCTTTTAGTTAGTTAGTTAGCACATCTTGACAATTGGCAAGATGTTTTCTATAAAGAACCACGTGAAGATCAGCCTGACATGGTATATTGCTAGCTACGGGGTTATCAGTCCACATTACTAATAATTGTCTTCCCCCTTATATTTGCAGTTTGACTTGCGTTCTATTAGGTATATACTTTATAATAAACACCAATTAATGATTATACATTAAGATTAAGATAATGAATCGAATAAGTAAATATTTATATTATCAGCAGTATTATAAAGCCTACTGAAGATCAGCTACAGTACCGAGGATGTCTTGACTCTTGAGTACCTTCGCAAACATGTAAAAAATCTGGCATTTCTTCCCAGTTCATACTCTAGCTTGAAAAAACATAATAAACTGAATGTACGGTGGTTCGAGTCAATCCACGTTGTCATCTAATAGTAGGAACATGTTGAACAAAAAAACCGTTGATCTCCATTCACTCGAAAATTTCATGAGATGTAAATTTATATGTTATTTTGAATAAATAAAATCGTCAGCTTTATCGCGACGGAATGACCGAGCTGCCGGCACTGGTCTCGCTGGGGTGTACTAATGAAACTAGAGAATCTGACCATAATTTTCATTCAAAATATCTTTGTTCATGTAAGTCTTTACAGACTCTTATGACTTTCCAAATCTACCGTCACTTCAGAGTGCTTTCGAGCTGAGAAGAACTAACAAGAAACTTAGCTCGTATTCTTTCTCTTTTCATTTTTAATTTCAAATTTGCGAGAATAGAGTACTACACTATACATATTTATTTTAAATGGAAATTTTTTTTTATACTACGATGGTGGCAATCGAGCATACGGCCCGTCTGATGGTAATTGGTTACCGTAGCCTATGAACGCCTGAAACACCAGGGGTATCATTTGCACGTTGCCGACCCTTAAGAAACCTTAATATACCCTTCTTGAAAATTGCTAAATCTCTAGAACAACGAGTATTAATATGTATGTTATTCATACAATCAATATGAATTTTATTATTAACACATACTTAAGTTCATTGTCATTAACAAATATCTTATTAGTTTTTCTTGTTATAAGATATAAGTGTGGAAATAAAATAAATATTATAAAATAGTCTGCAGTCTGAATGAATGGAAGAATAAAAAAATGTGACTATTGAATATTGCTTATATTAAGTTTATTTCTATTTCTTATTTGTTCTTGCTTTTAAGTACTTTGAATAAAAATTATTATTATTATTATTCAACAGAGAACAACTACCAGGAGGCGAGATGCGACCGAGTATTTGAGGCGATGCGCCAGTGTTGTATAAAGTACAAGAACTCGTCTTTTGTATGTGAAGGTTACGATCTAGCGCCCAGACAGTTCGCGCCCGTGACTGACAGGCCCGCCAAGAATTAGGTAAACATGTTTCATGAGTATTTTGAATGGTAAACAAGCTGATCTGATGGTAAGTGGTAACCGTCTACTGTATAGGTGAACAGTATCGGACATCAGGCTATTATGTGCCTTCCGTGATACCATTAATGCGTTTCTATTCCTAATTTTATTGTATAATCAGCAATCAAAATAATATGATTATCCGCTGGCCTCTGGTTGAATGTAACAGGTAGCAGCTATAGATATGAGCATCACAGATTATATGTGGTAACCGTCATCTATAAACTATAATAAATGGTATCATGAAGAGGTAAAATCTGACCATTTCCTGAGGACGATGCGCATGCGCATAGCCGCTTCGTTCAAATCAACAACAACTATTACTTATGACTGTTTTTTTTTATAATACAGTATTAGGTTTTACATAAAATTTTATTTCAACTTCTAAACTTACTTTTAAACTCAAAGTATGAGTCATGATCGAAAAACAAGCACAGAATTACAATGTTGCCCAGGGACTGCTTTAGACTTAGTCCAACACTGTTTTTGTGCTGTCTACCTTTATTCCTGGACAAGAAAAGGAATTATAACACAATATATTCTGACTCGAACACTACACGAAAGTCAGCCTTATATAATGAGATATTTTCACATTTTCCAGCCAGTAATGGATAATCGCCGTCGGAGCAAGCCCCTAGGCAAAAGAAGTTGGATATACCGATACCCGAGAACTTTCCAGATTACTTTCACCACATTATCGCTTGGCATATTCTTCTCCAAGCCTATCTACGATATTTTCTTCAGGCCGCGAGAGGAGATCGACTTATCTGAACCGCCGACGACCCTACAAATTGGGAGGCTTATTGAACGTTCAGAAAACTAACTATGGAATCTGTAGCTAAAGCAAGAGAGAGATTTGCCAAGTATCCATTACTATTCGCCAAGTGTTCAAAACAAGGAACTTTATATGCTCGCTGTGTGCTACTGAAGGAAGACTCTGTGAAAAAGGACGATTGTGCTAAAGAATTTCAAGAATTCAAGTGTTGCCTCCAATCTGCTGCTAAAGATTTGAAAACTAGGATTTAGAATGGACGCCATAAAACAATACCTCAATCTACCATTTAGGTATCATCTACTAGCCGGCGCTATAATTCGGTTAATATTGATCATCTATGGCGATTTTCATGATAAAACGTACGATGTTCCATACACGGATGTCGATTATAAAGTGTTCTCGGATGCTGCGAGACACGTCATCGATGGCAACTCGCCCTACCAACGGCATACGTACAGATATAGCCCTTTACTAGCATTCCTGATGATACCAAATATTTTAATTGCCAGAAATTTCGGAAAAGCACTATTTTCTGTTTTTGACCTACTTGTAGCGATAGCTATAAAAATATTAGTAGAACATCAATTCCAGACGAAAGATAAAGAGAAGCTATCTAAAATAGCCGTGTATTGTACATTGTTTTGGTTATACAACCCTCTGAGTATTGGCATCTCGACCAGAGGCAATGCAGACTCTGTTCCTTGTTTTTTTATAATCGTATCGATACTATTCTTGCAAACAAATGTTGTGAGAGGTCTACTGAAATATGCTTTATCTGGCATTTTGTTAGGTATTTCAATACATTTGAGATTATATCCGTTAGCGTTCAGTTTTCCTATGTATCTATCTTTGGGCACGTATAAAATCACTCGCAACACTAGCATCAAAGAGGGTTTTATAGCGTTGATGCCAAATAAAAAACAAATCATTCTGGCTTTGAGTTGTATTACAACGCTTTTCGTTCTTACATACAGCATGTATATATTGTATGGATATGAGTTCTTGTTTGAAACATACATTTACCACCTATTTAGAAAGGACACTAGACATAATTTCTCACTACTTTTCTATTATTCATACTTAACAATGGATCATCTATCGTTTGACATTGTGAAGACCATTTCGCAGGCATTCGAGTGTATAATTTTATTTATAATTAGTCTAACATTCGGTTGTGAACCTAAAACACTTTCGTTTGCTTTGTTTTCACAAGCAGTTGTATTGGTTGCTTTTAATAGTGTGATGACGTCACAGTATTTTGTTTGGTTTTTGTCGCTCCTACCTCTCGTTGTTCATAACATGAAGATAATACCAGCAAAGGCGCTGATACTCACTGTTATTTGGATTTGCGCGCAAGGAGCTTGGCTGTTTTATGCATATTTATTAGAGTTTAAATGTAGACAAGTTTTCATATTTATATGGTTGAAGAGTATAGTTTTCTTTTGCTCCAATATATTTGTGTTGGGTCAGCTTATCAAAAGTTATACGAGTGGTCATGGTTTCGGCCATTTTGATGTTCCAACTAAAATAAAGAGCAAGTAGGTACCTAGTAATACCTAGTTTTAGTTATGTTTGATTTGTAGATAGATTATGGTTATGTTTAATATGTAGATAGATTTATCATAAAATAAAAGATGAAATGAAACGTTTTTGGATTAATTTTATTTCTAACAATTTGAGAACTAATACCAACCTCTAAATTATTCATTAACTAAACATTCACTCATACTATAACAAAAATGCATTTAAAAACAATAAGATGCATGTTATAAATAGACTATGACTATGAACAACATAGTCTAAATTTTATATATTACAGAATATGTTTTCAAATCATTACCCATGTTTAGATTTATTGACATGAATAATTATTTGATATATATCAACAGTTTTCAGTGTTAAATAGTCAGATTAAGTACAAGTTAGGACAATAACTATATTGATTCATATGTTAAACAAAACATACTGGTGCATAACATGGCTCATTTATACCAATATTAGGAACTTTATGGCCATACTATTAACTGTACGGCCTGTGTAAAATGGCAGTGACAAAATCCTCTAATTTTAAAAATATTATTGATATTTAGGAATTAATTTTTGTCTATGTTTATAGAATGACACACTATATAGTTTCTGAAATAGGGTTGTATGGATTTTGAGATATGGCGAAATTTATGATTTCAAAATTATTTTTAGTAATCATAAATTTCACCATATTTACAGAAATGAATGAACTTGAATGATGACTCTAAAGTTCACTAAATTCATAGCAAGCATTAAATTTTTTTATTATTATATTACACATAATATTTGCTACAAATAAATGTGTATGTTATTTTCCTAACTTGATAGATAGAGTCATGTCAGTGCCTACTATTTCTTTTCTGGTAGGTTGACCTTGGTTAAATCTTCAGTCTCTCCTTGTGACATATTTGATAATTTCTTCCCAATTCGCTCATGAACATCCAAATATTTTGCCACACACCGGTCCAGACAGACTGATTCTCCTTTGCCTAAAATAAAAGGTCCAGTTTAATTTTAGGCACAAATGTATTTAAATTGTGCAATATTGTAAATTTATCAAATTCATTACATTTTCCATTCAAATATCTTCAGTGTACAAGGGTATTATAAGTCTTAAGCATAAACACAAAATTTACATCTTTGAATTATAATTTGGTACTTTATGGGTCTATAACAACAAATTTAAAATACATAGGTACTAGTGAATGAGGAACTGTTCATAAGATACTATGTCACACTGCACACTGTACATAATAAGACTAAATTGTATGTGTATATGTATGTAAATGTCAGTGTGCTAAATTTATTATATTATAATTCCAGTGTCTGTTATAATAAAAATGAAAATTCATATCCAAGGTCTCTAAATTGTTTGAACTTCTCAATTTCTTTATACTGCTATTTAAATAAATTTGTTATGCATTTGGTGTTTGGTCATATCTACCGGTTTATATAATATTAAAGATTCAAAATATAATATATTTTACATGTTCCAGATACTAATATTGACACTGTGTAAGCTACCTAATTCAGGTTCATGGTACTTGAGCGGGATACACTTCCTGTGACATGCACTGACCAACCGATTATACATGTCTGACATCATTTCAATCTCCAACTCCTGAACAAGCTGCAGCTTAGCAGGGTCCATCTGTGGCATCGCCATTTTTTATTATTCAATTCCAACAGACTTTCAACATACACCTGAAAGTTACAAATTTATTCATGTAGCAGGACTGAAGAAAAAATAAAGCTAAATATCTTAATTCATATAGGTCTATTACAGATAACTCAACTGAAGTCCTGGATTGATTGGAGTCCTAGATTTGACTCCCTTATAATTTCTTCTTGGCTCTAAGTAGTCAAGCCAAGAACTCACAAGAAACTCTGCTCTTACTCTCTTTAAATGATTCTCCATTATAGTAATGCATATTAAAGCTGAAGTTTAGGGTGAATACAGTAACTACAAGAATATACTATTAATTTAATGTTACTAAATTTTATTTAATTCAGGAGCATTTGAATAGACCAGTCTCTACAAGCATGATAATGTTTAATTGAAGGTGTTGGGTTTATTTAATAAATATACAATATATACTATTGAATTTATTATTAAGATTCTATTGATTGCTACTTCGGCTTAAAAAAACTCACACTCAAAACTTGCGGTACAAATCTGGATACTCTCCTTCGTTTGATTTGCGCATGCGATCCCGAGCTCTCATATTCTCCAAACGCTTGGCATTTATAGTGTTTTTTGACAACACAAACAGTGATAAACTAGTTACTGTTATCGCTACCCTGGAATATTGATGTTAGTTTGTTTTAAATGTATTTAATATAACTAGTTTTTTTGTATTGTATGTATATGGGTAATTCATTAACGTTTTGCAACATGAAATTTCTTAATATTTGAGTATTTCAGGTTAAGAAAAAACAGCTATCAATAATTTTTGGTAGTGATTGAATTACTGAAGTACTAAAATGTATGTAATATTTTAGTGTGATGAGCAATAATGCAAAATATAACATTACGTCAATAAACTTATGTTATTATTAAATGTATATTAAATACTATATATCAAAAAATAAATGAAGCACATTATTTTCTCAATATCTATTAAAAATTATTAATTTAATAAAACAACGCTCACCACACAAAAGGTTTTGTTTTGAACAGATAAGTCGTATAATTATTATAGAAATAATTACCACGAAAGCGTTATTTTTCCAAATTTTCCAAGCGGCATACTACAATAAAATTCCGAGAATTTTTGATTCAATGAACGTCAAGTAATTTGAGGTTATAAATTTAGTACAAAATTACGCCATGTTACGTCATGTTCGGAAGTCGCTACTTTCGCTATTTTTGTCTATGGTATGGTCCTTAGTTAGTGTTGCAAATTGTTAGTTACTGAATAAAAGCTGTTTCTTGTTTTATGAATATTACTAAATAAAAGCATGGTAGAATAAAATACATAAATTCAGACGGTAAACCTGACGGACCTGGCGCTGCGACTGCCAGTTCTAATTAACTTTACATTATATTGGAAAACATCGATTTACATAAGTATTAAGATACGATACAAGTTACATGATAAACATCGATATTTCTATTTATCCTTTACTCTTAGGTCAACAAGTGTTGGAACCTATCTGTTCATTCCTTTTAATGACTTTTTGATATCATTCGTACGGATTCTATGTCTAATTAAGTTTTTTTTTGTCCGATGACTTTACATTGACGTTTCGATACTATCGAAATCGTGACATTGATGTTTAATTCGGTGTTTATCGATATCCCTACTACCACACCAGTCGCATCGCATTGTTGATTGTCTATGGTCTGTTGTTTCATTGATATTTTCAAAATAAGACGCGTGCTTTGCATAATTTAGAATATATCATAAAATGCCTAAACCTACAAAATTACACAGCAAAGGAAAGTCAAATTCAATACAGAAACCATGTAAAGCTGATAAAGACAAAGCGGGACCTTCAGATCCGGACCAATTAGTGAGACAATTTCAGTTGGAGCTATGTTGGTGTATTCAGCAGTTGGAAAAATCTTTAGCTGAAAAAAAAGGCAATGAAAAGCAAAGTAAGTAACTAATAATGTTAATACATATTTTTTCCATATAATTCTGTATAATTCATAAATCAAAGTATTTCTATATAGTATAAAACACAAAACTATTTTTATTTACAATAGCCTCTAACCTCCATGACAACACATATTTAATTGTGTTTATAAATGAAACATAATTTACATTTTACTAATGATTACATATAGATATCCAAAAATTTAAGTTTCAAAAATAACATATTGCAAAATTTACTGAAAGAATGTGCAAAACACAAGAGGATGTAAATTCAAATTATCATATCAATATTCTATATTTTGAAGTAATAACATTATAATTTCTGCCATCACTTCCACGAAAAAGAGGCAATGACATGTATATTTGTTGTTAAATTATTTATAGTGCATTCTGAATTTCCTTGTAACCGGACTTAAAAATATACAAGCTATAAAATAATCTGTCTGCATAATAAAAATTACCTTTAATATACAATGACTAGCCGACCCGGAAAACATTGTTTTGCCATATAAATCATTCAATTATCTACCACCAAGAGTTGAAGATTAATAGTATGCAGAAGTACTGATATTACCATTAAAATATATAGTATATATTTTATTATTATATATGGTGAAAATTAGGGTTGTGTGTACAATTGTACTGTTTCATAACATTGTGTAAACAAATTATTTTTATTTTTATTTCAGCTCAAGAAGCATGGAAAGTGTTAACAATATTAAAAAATAATAATCAGTCTATTGTAAGGAAACGACAACTAATGCGAACACATTTTGGAGATTATAGAGCTAAAATGGCTGCTGAAGAAAAAAAATTAGCTAAGAGTATGTATAATCTCAATCAGCTATTGCAGAAATGACATAATGTATATAACGGGTCTCTTAGACTATTTTACTTGAGCATACTATTTATTCAAATGGTTGTATATTTGTGGTGGTGCTGTGTGTCAGATTAAAATAAAACATTGTATAAGATAATTAAAATTGGATAAGAAAGAAGTATAATGTATCAAATTATTTGCAGTGGCAAGCAAAATGAAGATATCTGATGCACCAGACAAACCAAAAGCAACATTTCTAAGAAAATCTGTATTTTTAACATCTGGCAATAGTTCATTTAGGTTCAATTTCAATTTAGCGCCAGAACAAATAGAAAATGGCAATACCACAGATAAATTAATAGACGACAATACTGTAGTGGAAAATAAATCAGATACAACTAGTGTTGCTATTACTGAAAATGGAGATGCTGATAAAGATAACTCTGTTGAAAAATCAAATTTGGATAACAAATCAAATTCATTCAAGTTTTCATTTTCTGATTCTAAATTTAGGTTTAATTTTAATACAAACAATTCTTAGTTATAAGGATAGATATGTGTATAAATAACTGTTTTACGAAATAAAATAATTTTGTTCAAATTCATATTTGTTTGATTACTATATAATATCAGTATATCTCCGTATGATAAAAGTATAATAATATTTTTTAGATATTTATTTTCAAATGTCATCACAAATGCTTTGATAGTATCCAGCCATTACCAATACGCTATTATCATTTCTTATATGCCTGGCGCAGGTGTAATCTTTAAAAAAATTATCTGAGTTAGGCACTGAAAACCCAACAGGCAACTCGTATTTATAAAAATAAGGTCCCCATGTCGCCACACCAAGTAATTTATGTGTTTTTATATCAATGATTGCGCCTCCCTCTACACCGTGATATTTCTGACACAGTTTATTGTTAGTTTTAAACTGCTCTAAAGTACATGAGTGGTAGCACGGCACGTGAAATCCGTTTACGCGATTGTTGAAAGTAAGAATAGTGGTGCATATCTTGATATCTATTTTAATTTCTAATTCGGTTAAATCGAATTCTCTTTCGGCCGCTTTGATTCGATGAATACCCTGAAAATATTTAGAAATGTTATTATATGCAGCCGAGTTTCAAAATCTATAAATATGTAGAATAACAATACATAAATACAGTTTTATCATAGTTCTCAGGTGTGTAGGTACATGTAAAAATAAGCAACTAACATAATAATATAACATATAACATAAGTTTTTCTTCGAACTATGCCTAAAGCTACAAATCTATACCTGTTGGCCGCAGCTAGCTTTTACAGTTTTACTAAACGATAGAAGACGAGTGCAGATGACACTCCAAACCAAAGAAACGACTTCTGGAGCGGCTCAAGGCCAATTCGTGCCCGATACAATTAACTTGCTGGTGATGGCAGATTATACCTATATTATTACTCTCCCTCTTTTGGCCATTAACTTATGTCCGTGGGTAGTTACGTCTTACCTAACTGAACCGCTAAGCAGCCTTATAAGCAACCTTATAAGCTGTATCGGTTCGATTAATTGAGTACCACAAGCGTCAATTTTTTTTCAAGATGATAATGGAATGGTGCATCCCCCTGCGCTGACGGTTTACACTGGCGGGCACCAGTGGAGGATGATAGGATGAACATGAAGTCAGATTAGTTAGCTCAACGTGACAAATTCACCGGAAATGTATCACGATGGTTTCCGCGGGAGACGAGACGTTTCACGAGGGAACCGCGTGGAGGTCGATCTGACATGGTACATTGCTAGCAATGGGATCATCAGTCCACATTACTAACAATCCCCTTTCCCCCCCACAAGCGTCAATTAACGTTTATTCCATGGTGCTGTTCATATATGTATATAGGCGACATTTTCATTTTGAATTTAAGTTTGAAAAGGCTATTCATGGGTTTGTCCAATTTTATAACAAAAATACATTAGTTACCTTCTGTGTGGCATATCCAACAACTTTGAAGCCCATTCCAGATAGACCAAGATTCACGAACCATTCGAAATTATCGTCCGTCCTGTTTGTACTTTCAAAAAGTTTAATAGTCTTCCAAATGCCTGTAAAGCCGTCCTCAACTACAATAAATCCAATATCGTCGAAGGCTTGCTTCGTACCCTGCGATGGTACCACAAATGACAGAGCTGGTAGTCTCTCCTGTTGATATATTACTGTGGTATGTTTTACTTTTAAGCTACAACAATTTATTGGTAGTTTAAGATTTTGACTGACAATACACATTGAGTAACAATATATAAAGTGCAGCAGTTTGCATAGAATCATTGGACTTTGTAGTCTCTATCTACCCCAATGGAAGAAAATAAGACGTAAAGGAATTTGTTTTACTAAAATGTGATTCCATGCAAAAAAATTGTAATAATTAGTTGTGTTATAAACTTATTCAAATACTATATCGTGTGCAAAAATATTGAAATAATTATTCATGGCATAAACTGTAAAACTTGTATTATTATTTTCCTATTTGGGTTAGAGACAAGAAGTAGACATTTAAAATCGACTGATTGGCGACTTCAGTCTCCAGATATTTCAGTCGCTGAGTTTCGGTTGTAGGGTATAGATTAGTCAGTAAAATTATAAGACAAGTGGTATGACATCTTAGGCTGTCAGCCTGTTTGCTATTCCAATTACGTTAAAAAAAGATACGGAGGCAGGGTTGTTGAGAGTATAAAGTAGTGAACCTATAGATGCATCTAGCGGCGGTGATAAATATCCTCTTCTCAATACACACGGCGGTACACATGTGCGGTTTATGCTTACTGCGAGAGTGAATCACCTTTGCCACCCATGGGTATTGCACTTCAGATACCGGTTGCGCATCTACTTGGTAACTTTCTAGTGACGAAAAGACTGAAATGTAATTTTTTTAAGAAAATATTTATTGCGAGTTTTAGTGATCTTGAGTTCGAATATTATAGATACTTTAATTTTGGTCGAATCAGAAACTTTCATACTTATTTACAATTAATTAGTGTAATGATCAGTCCTTTCCCACGTCGAATATACTCAAAAGGAATATGACGGCATATTGCAGAGTATATTTCATATGTTAAGTACATTGTACAATATCTTTGTTCTTGGTATAGATTCTATTGCACAATTTAGGAATTATAGCTGTGTTAGCTGCGGCTTTTGTAACTGGAATGATATCGTACGAGGGAAAGAGAAGGAAGCAAGTCATCTCTTGTGTACACTGCTGGTGTCATGCGGCCTTTAAGCTGTGAACGTTGAGGGAGAAGTCTGAAAGTTGATATTTAGGAAAACAAACGGTACAAAACAAGCTAACTGCCAACCTGATGGTAAATGGTAACCTTCGCCTACATGAACAGCCTGACGATCAAAGCAAGTTGCTTCACGGCTGTAATAGACAAGACTGAGGTTCCCATGGAGATGACTTTTTACAAAGTCAACATCAGTAAACATAATTTTAGTAAATCTTTAGTTTTTTTTTTGTATGCGCGCTGCCTATACAATATATTTATATACGTATACAGCCATAAGTTTTTTTAAGAGTACAAAATATTGTAACTTACAAGTTTCATTCAAATTATTTTTACCCGATAATTTCGTTGTTTCATACAAATCATAATGAAATTTATTGTCGTATTTTATACATAGAACGTTTCCTAACTCCGATAACAATAATATAAAGAACATTAACATGGTGTTATGAAATAAAACAAGTTGTTTAAATTTTATGGATGTTACAATTTTATGATATATTATTATACATAACTTTATTACTTTGAAACTTACAAAAAACGTAAAATTAACGCAGCACAAATTATTACCTAAATATATATATTTTTTTAAATAATGGCAATAATAATACCAAATAATAAAATATGTTTTCAAGAGAAGTCCTTAAATCTAATAGTTTTCCTGATCGTTAACCTGAACATTTAAAAAAAATACTTTCTAGTAAATTGAAAACTAAACGATATATTATAATTTAATCGATGAAAGAAGTGTTTTACAATTTTTTACAATAATTTCTTAAATGTATCTGCAATATCATTATCGACCCATTAATTTTGGATTAAATTGAATTGTAATCAATATACAAAATAAAATATAAAAAACTATATTATTGTTGTAAACTCAACATTAATAAGTTTTATAAAGAATATGGTCCTTGGACCAGAATCTTAATGTGAGAAAGATTATATAAGCTTGTGGATCTTGATAAAGAAAAGTCAGGTTAACTAATTATATTTTTATTTATTATACGACACATGTCTGTATCTGGGTTATTATTGTGTGCACCGGTAATTATGTAATTCACAATTAATAGCAACATTGCCCACGGATTAAAATTGTGGATTTGTTTATTTCTATAAATCATTTGAGAGTCGTGCTAATTTGTACGGTTCTCAATCGTAATATATAAAACTGCAAAATTGTAAATACTAATCTGTTGCAGCCCATATCTAAGATAGGGAAATATTGTGCCAGTGTTGCCATATTCATAAACATTTACTACTTTAATAGTAGTAAATGTTTATGAATATGGCTGACGTTGAGTTTCTAAAAATAAAGTTATACTTTGCACTTTTGATGTGCTTTTTCGATAAATTATAATATTTATGAATATACAATTAATCGTGAGAAAAATAAAATCGATAATCGACTTTAGTTATCTCCATCTATACTCACGACAATGTATGTACAGTAACTTTCTTTTAAAAGGAATGCTATAACGATCTAAATTATATGAATTGTAAATTATAAAGTAACAGTGGACACGTCAAACGATTTCGTACTTGTCGGGGTGGAAGCTTATTTCCTGTGAATAATCGACAGGGGTTCCGTCTTCCGCCTGCGTCACCTTCGTCGCTGTGAGGAGTGCCAGCGAAGTCTCCGATACCCAACTCACCGTTAGAGGGAAGAAATCGTTAGGTATTGCTGGAGTTACGCTGCAAAGTCATTATTTATATCGTTAATGTATTCACATAATGACATAGTAGAGTTCAAGCGAATTGTCAGATTGTAGTTAGGTTTAAGTTTTCTCTTCGAGTTCTACATGTTACATGTCAGGTCTTAACGGTCCGTCAACTATTTGTACTAAACATTACGCTTCGTAAACATTCTCAGCTTCCATATGTTCCATATGTTTCAAATGATACAAATTTGAGATGTACGAATACAACTTATAAAATATGTAAATTAAATCCTTGTCGTACTGCAATAGCTAGTCGTCATTATAACCACGTAAGTTCTATTTTGTATAATAAGTTAAATAAAGAATTGAACATATATCCCCTATCCTACTACAAATGTAAGCTGTTGTGTGCAAAATGGCTTCAAAACTTATCGTATGAAAAATCTGAGGATCTTCTAAAACTTTATTAACTTGACTTGTTGCGTAAATATTGTAATTTCAAAAATAATGTATAGTAATCGTAGACCTCCCTCTCTCTCTCTCTCTCACATACACACACACACACACACACACACACACACACACACACACACACACACACACACACACACACACACACACACACACACACACACACACACACACACACATTGTGCATTCTTTCTTTTTGTTTATAAGTTAAATTTTCTTTGTTTTTGGTAAATTTAAATATTTTGTAAATTTTTTAGACAATATGTGATGGGTAACGACATTGCATGTATTTTTATTTTTTATTTTAGTTTTTGGAATTATATATACTAGGTGGAGGGCGTCGATATTCGCAACACAGTTTTATACTTCTGTGAATATCTTCGTTTCTTTAGTAAATTAGTACACATTGTCTGTATTAAGTAAATAAATTAATAAAATAAAAAATAAAATAAAACATTCGAGTTTCAACCGTAAATAGAGTTACTGAAGATTTAGCGTAGATTATCAGAATTATTTATTTTATTAATAAGTAAAAAATACTTGTAATTTTATATATGTATACTCGAATATTATAAATTTGTTTATTTTGTTTGTACGTTTATAAACTCAAAAATTACTAGGCTTGTATTTTTATAACGACAAAACTACTGAACTGAATTTTAAAATGCTCCATTGTACCAATTATAGATATTTCTAGAAGAATATCGGAATTCCTTTTAAAACTTAAATAATGCAATCCAATGCCCATAGACTTCAACAATAACATCTTTATTCTTTTATGTAGTGGGAGTCGGTTGGGGCTATTAAATTAATTAGTACTTACGTGAATTTATTACTTAATTAGTATTTATGTAAATTGTGGATGGATGGAAAGGGAGAGGGCAACCTAAAAAAATATGGATGGATTGTGTGAAAGATGATATGAATAAAAGGAGAGTATACTCAGATATGACGGCCGATGGAGATCAGTGGAAGAGGATGACATACTGCGCCTGCCCCAAATAATGGAATAAAGGTAAGGCAATGATGATATTACTTACGTGAACTCAAGACTGCCGGATTTTTGCTGTGCGTTAACAATGGGAATGCTCCATATCAGCGAGCGGCCCTTCTGTGTGTAGCTACCTTCCCACTGGTGCACCACTACTTGAGTGTTGCCAGAACTAAAAATAAAATGTAATTGATATTTAATTCCATAAAAGAGGCTTTGATATGAACTGTCGCTAATTTTGTTACATTTTTGTTTGTTCGAGCTGATGGTGTCCACTCTGAGATAGACTGCATCTCTGTTAAACAGAGTGATGAGCTTAACTAATGGCATCATGAATCTTCATTGTGTCCCAATTATATAATTGGGACACAATTTACTTGTGGCTGACGTTATTAGAGATATAGATAGGCAAAATGATTGTATAATATTAAATGAATTAATGTAACTCACTAACATAGTTTTTAAGTCATTCTTACTGACACAAATGGTTCTTTCACGCTTCATTTTATTGCTATAATTTTCCACTGGTGCCCCAGCATTTATCGTTAGCATAGGAGAGTTCTAATCGTCATCACAAAGTCCCCCAACCTACTCACTAGTCACGGTACTGGATACTCACGGTAATGGAATATTGATGTTAACGTCGGTCAGCGTCAGATGTTCTTGCTCCAACTCGTATTCTATGTTCACGTCGCAGCCGCCGCTGGCGCCCTCCGATGGCCAACAATTTACTGTAAGTAACCATATTCTATTAAATTAATTTAAGGATATGGAGTCAATAGGACTGTGATATTATATGCCATAAATTGATGGAGTCCTCAGGACTGTAACGAACTACCATTTCAGTAAGAGTGTTTGATATAGAAAAAATCTATTTAACTATTTATATCAGTTGTCTAGTTTCTATAACATAAGTCCTGTTTAGCTTGGAACTGGGTGTCATATGGGTACATAAAAAACCTGACTTTTTATTACGTGAGCTGCTAGCAATATTGCCAACCCAATATTACATGAAAAATGTTGTATTTGGCTAATCGGAATGTATTTTTTATTCTAAATTTGTATTTAAATTTATAGTCCGTTGATTGTACATTCTTGTTTATATTAATTCTGTCTTGACGATTGTTCCTAATATATATTTCCGTATACCAATTTCTTTCCCTTTACACATAAAACACATAAAACAAACAAAACTACAAAAAAAAAAAATTTAGGACAAAGAAATGTTCTTTATTTACAAAGAAACTGTCTTTACATGACACGTTCTCGTTCGAAAGACCGTGTCGTGTAAAGCAAGCTATAGTGAATGTGGGCAGTTACCGGAGAACGGCGCGAGCTTGTCGTCATTGGCGCCCGTGAGTCGCCACTTGAGCACGCCCACGTCGCTGTGCAGCGGGAACGGACGCTGCGTCTGCTTCAGTCCGATCACGCCCTGCGACCTGAATGCCTCCTTGTCCACGTTCGGATGAGTCTGTAAACCATGTTCCAAATTTAAAACTAGTCTATTAGGACATGTCTGGGATGCGTCTCTAAATGACGTTCTAAATTTAAATAAACCAGTCTCATAGTACTTGTCTTGGATGAGTCTGTACACCATATTCCAAATTTAAATAAACTACTCTCATAGGACGTGTTTCGGCTCATCCGAGTTTTTTATTGTTTCTCGACAACACGTTCCATATTTAAAACCAGTCTGATAGGACATGTCTTAGACGAGTCTGTACACCATGTTCTAAATATTACAAAAATACACATTATAAAGAAAGAAATAATAGTTATTCAATGCTTTTTGCATGCATCAATAACATTGTCTAAAAAATATTTCTATTCTATCACTTATCCATTGCAATTATAGTAAAGAAATTCTGAGTGATGAGTGAGTTGTCTACAATAATACATTAATTTTAACTCACCTGTAGTTGTAACGACCTCGTATCCTTATTGTCAACATGCACGTGTATACGACCGAACTGCTCGTTAGTAATGCGCAGCGTCAATAAGCCTGTAGACAATTAGTAAAAAACCAAAATAAAGAATTCTTTATTCATGTAGTAAGTACATTTTAGCCACTTATCATCGTCCAGTTTTTTGTATTAATATTTATATTCTCTACCGTTCATTTTAGTATATCGATTCAATTGAGAAGAACAGGCAAGTAACTTAACTGAATTTCTTTTTTTTAACCAGTTTTTTTTTCGGACTACTCTAATGCTGTTGGCCGCAGCTGGCCTTTACAACTTCACCGGACGTTAGGGGGCGAGTGCAGATGGCACTCCAAACCCGCGGAAGGACTTATGGAGCGGCTGAAGGCCAACTCCTGCCTGACGGATACGACTTTAGTCTGAGAGCACCACTAGGGGTTCGAACCTCGGCTCAGGCCGTCGTAATATCGATCCCCGTTTGAATTGGACGGGGGATCGATCGGAGGGGACATTTAACCAGTTTATTTACATTGTATACTTATATCTAGGTTTCTTTCTACCAATATACGTAAATAAAATCCCGTGCATGAACAGCTGTTGCCATACACGTTTCGGTTATATATACAGGCAACTGTTACCATCAACTTTCAAAAATAAGAAACCAAACATTTTTAGCTCTTAATTTGTAAAATACCTTATAAATATATATCTATTTGCTGTAGAGTATTAAAATTTCACAGTAGGTAATAATTACCAGATAACTCGAAGTTCTGTATGTCTCCATCACGGCCGGCAACCAAATTGAGACGTTCCTCGAAGCGGAGATGGACACTGTAATAGTTAAATTGATATAGAATAAAAAGATGATATTTTATATAGTAAAGTAGATACACTATGAAAATATGTTTTTGGGACTAGTCCAATGCTATTGGCCGCAGCTGGCCTTTACAGCTTCACCGAAGATAGGGGACCAGTGCAGATAGCACTGCAACCCAAAAGAAGGACTTATGGAGCGGTTGAAGGCCAACTCCAGCTAGACGAAGGGTCAGGCCGTCGTAACTTAGATCCCCGTTTGAATTGGAAGGCATGATGATCATGGCGGTGCGCGAAAATACTTCACACCATAATCTTTTAAATTCTGTATTATCGAAAAACTTTAAAACAATATAGAATAGTCACAATCACTCACTCCTTTTGATTAACAGCCGGCTGGTCTGTCCGAGCACCTGCAGTGGAGCCGGTGTTGACCGCGGGGCTGGCGGAGGCCGCCGCGACGTCCCCCTCGGAGCGTAGCCGGGACACGAACGACTCCGCGTCGGTGCCACGGGATCCCAGCTTCATGGCTGACCGAGTGGCCGGACGACTGCAATAAACAAACTATCAGTAAAGCAATATATATAAACGCTGGTGGTCACTCTATTCTCCCTAATGAATATAGAAATGACTCTGTCTCTGTATTTTTCAAAACATGCACAATCTCATTTGAAAATCATTCCAAGATTACGATAAATTGGACATCGATTGATTTGAAGTAAAATTGAAACATTTTTTTTATTTAAATAAAAAGAAATAGTAAAATAAATGTAACCTAAGTTACGGCATATAACATTAGCTATCTACAAGTGTAAGTTCCGTTAAAATCCGTTCAGAGATTAGAAAGAACAGTCAAAAATACTTTAAATATTTATTTTATATAATTACTATATATACTTTCATGTGCATCTAGTTAAAAGCTGTTAATTTAAAATTACAAACAGACACTTCAATGTTATTTATTTCTATGGACAAGTATATTTATTAAAACCAATAATATTATATACAGAAGATTTTTTCTTGCATTTCTAGTGAATTACATACAAGTTTACAAAATACACTATCTCGTATTATTGTACTTTTGCAAGATATTAAAAATAACTAAATAATAGACGAGGATGTTGCGTTTGATTTTTTATAAAAAAAATGGTCACAAGATCTTACGTGTCTCGCGCAGGTGTTGGCGGCAATTTCTCTGGAACAACCTCTGCAGAAGGTGACGACATCGATGAACTGCCAAATCCACTACCTATGAGGAAAATGCCATTTACTTACTAATGCTAAGCTGTTTGCTTTGTAGCCAGTATTTTGGTTGTATAATGCAAATTAAACAATGTCACGATTGGTTTATTCTGGTTACGGCCACTGATTAGACAAAATTGTAATAACATGTGGTAGTGGTCACTCTATTTAATAATTTTAAATTTAAAAATTATTCTAGCACAAATGAGTTTGGGCTATTGTCATCTGCTTGGACCTGTATCACTGCGACCTACATAGATCTATTGTACTCGCCCTTTTCAGAGTTCTCTACCTAGACGCGTCAGGGACAAGAATTGAAGAATATTCTTAGGAGCTTTCCAAAGGTGATATTTTGTTTATACATGAGTGAGCTACCACATAGGATGTGGCGTTTCCTCTTCAGCATTGCAATACAACCATAACGTGATATCGTAGTGCTGTGTATGATGAATGTCAAGTAAGTGTAATACAGATCAACTTCCTCTGCATTAGACTAAAGTAGCTAGTACCCAATAAGACGCTTCAAAATAACCTACAAAATATAAATAAAATAATATATATAAAATAATATTTTTGATTCGTAGCCTAATTCTTGAGGTAGATAATGAAAGATCAACTCTCACCGTAAGACATTTGTGAGCGCGGTGGTTGTCCGCGCTTGGCTGCTTCTAACCTCTCCCTCTGCAACTCCTTGGCACGTTCTCGCATACGATTGGCCGCTTCGCGTTCTTGTGTCTGTCATGCAAAATAAAATTGGCTACACATTTATAATAACACTTCCTTAGTGGAACATCACATCTGCAATACACTACGAAATCAGTAGGCGAAGTTGTAAATCTTAGTTTCAAATTTCGTGTTGTAATACTTGACGTATTAGATTTCCAAAGGTGACATCACAAAATTTATGTTCGACGTCACACGTTAAGGGCGGGGTGAGAGGGGACATTGACGTGTGATGTATTATAATTTTTGACCATAGTGATGGCCCCCATTGTACTAAATAAAAAAACATACCTGTCTGACTGCTTGATAAATCTTCTCCTCATGAGAGTCCATTTCGACAAATGAACGAACCTATAAACGTAAATTCAATTTATTTGAATATAATAATAAACTAAGAAATAAGAATATGTAAAACAAAATAATAGAGGTAAAGAAATATGTAACAAAGTACATCAATTGTCAGTGAACAAATTGATATTTTTAAACAATGAAAATGTGTATAACTTTATTGCAGTATGGTGCCACTATAATAGCATTCAACATATCCTATGTTTATGTGTATATCTCTATCAAAATAAAATAAATATTTTCTATGATAGTACTAAACTAACAATAATAAACAGAACAGAGCAGATTTAAAACTATAATATAAAGAAAATAATGTGATTTTTTCTTTATAATGAATAACTAAAAAAATATTTAACCAATTAAGAAAAATTTTCATTTCTAGACATAATAGTAATAATTTATTATCAGACAACATAGTTAATTTTATTAAAAGCTTCATTCTGAGGGATGTAATACGGAATTTAAAAAAAATACACCTGTGCAATGTAGGGGCCAGTTGGTACTTAATAATAAAACATATAGCACATCTTAATAATCAGTAATATGTAATAAGCTTCATATGGACCACACTTCAACCTGGCATAAGCTAGAATATCTCAGGCTAGACTTTCAATGGAGAAGCAACTCTCACAAGAATTTACAATGATCAATGACTCTGCTTATAGATATGGTAGATTTTATAGTTATATAGATTATTAAACAGTATGTATTAAATATATTGAATATTTTAAAAGACAGTAAATATTAACACAAACCTGTGCCAAGTTGACACTCTCCCTGTAGCCGAGTGCCACAATCTCATCAAATGCAAACAGTAGGTTAAAGGCCTGGTTCAATACCTCAGCCTCCGTCAACTGAGTGCAGTACTCTGGTACCTAAACAATATCATCTACATATTAATATATGAAGCAACAACATTGTATATCTTTTTATGAAAATTGAAAGTAAATAGGAGAATGAATATTTCGCACACTTATAGTTTATATTGAAGGAGTGTAGAATGATAATATATTATTTTTTTTATAAAAAACTTAATACATCTTTTTATGAAAATGTGTGGTTGGAGGAGTATATAAATGTCATACACTTATAGTTCATACAGAAGAAGTGTAGAGTACTATTTTTTTTAATTATGAATAAAAAATACATTAAATAATAAAAAAAAATGAATATATACACATACCACTCTGCTGAATAGTCGGAGTGTCTCCAAATCCTCCAGGATGTTGCTGGCTTTCGTAGTGATCAGTAACATATACAACTTGTCTAACGGTTGGTACACATATCTGAAATTGTTATAAAATTAAACTATGTAATAATTGTACAGTCAACCCTCCTATAACGCGGTGAGTGCGTACCGCGTTGTATGGAAACCGCGCTATAAGAGACTCAGAATAAGTACAAATTACATCATTCGTACCGCGTTATATGGAGACCAATAAATACAAAAGACAAGATAAATTATAAATTATTTATATTGAATTGAAGAGTATGAACTCTTCAATTCAATAAAAATAAGGAAATGATGAAAAAAATGAAACAAATGCTAAACTAAAAAACTGTTTTCCAACAAAAACAAAAGAAAGACTTTTGTAAAATGATGTAATCTTTCAACACTCATCCTCACTGTCAGATATGAGTCGCCTAACTCGCCTTCTTTTAATGGGCAAAATGTCTTCCTCACTTGGTTGATCTTCACATTGGTTTTAAGCGGCTAAGACATAAGCAGAACGTAGTTTTTCTATAGTTCACGCGACAATGTAGTCAAAAGATCACATATATATCTTTCATGTTACAGTTTCGTTAGACACACACACGCATGGCACGCTGTCGATGCGAAACTATTTAGTTAATAGAAGTGGAAGATAGCGCATGAGGAGAACCACCCACCCGTGAACCACGCTGATATAAACATATCCAGTTAAAACCATTCATTGGGTGCACGGAAAGAACTGATGGGACGTTGTTGAACGGAAACCGCGCTATAAGAGTACCGCGTTATAGGAGGGCTGTCGCAATTTCAGCTCCGCGTTATATGGAAACCGCGTTCTGAGAGTACCGCGTTATAGGAGGGTTGACTGTATATATAATATATTGTACCATGCAGTGATATAACAGAAGAATTTGAATATAAAAAGATATCAATAGTATTGAAGACACAATTGAATTGAAAATCATCTTTCTGAAAGTATACAAAAACCAACATCAGTATGTAGGGGGTAAGGGGGATTGTTAGTAATGTGGATTGATAACCCCATTGGTAGCAATGTACCATGTCAGGTTGACTGCCACATAGTTCCCCCCTGGATATTATTATAATAAATTTCTAGTGAATTTGTCACTGAAGACCGACTGACCTAACCTCATGCTCATCTATCTTATCAACCTCTATTGATCCACCACCTATGAGCACAGGATTGAAATTGTGCACCCAACATTCCATTATCGGGGGGAAGGGGATTATTAATAATGTGTACTCGTGATCCCATTACTAGCAATGTACCATATCAGGTTAACTTCCACGCAGTTTTCCCTGGAAACCATTGTGATAATTTCCTGATTAATTTTTCACGATGGGCGAACTGACTTGACCTCATGACCTTATCATCCTCCACTGGTGCCCCGCCAGCGTAAACCGTTAGCGCAGACGGATACACCATTCCATTATCATCCATAGAAAACATTTCATTATCACATGATAAAAAAACAGTAAGTATGTATGTAAAAAATACTAGTAACAGTATTAGAAGTTAACATGGTTCTAATAAGGCGAGGGTTCAGTAATGGGGTCTAAATTTCCTATTTTAGTGATAATCTCCATAAGATAGGATCCATTAAATTGCCATGACAATCTTGCATATGTTATATTATAATTAAATAAATTATATTAACCTGACTGATTCCGTTTCAACGAAGGTATGCTGGCGGCCGCCAGTCATTAGTTTCGGGAACGCCGCAAGCAAACCCTCGATACGCGCTTTCGTCATCTCCACAAACTGACGAGAAACCAATGCTGAAAAACATTATAATCATAAGTTCTGTCTTCTGCACTGTAATTAGTATATAGTATTGATTGGTTCTTATATTAATTAGACGCTCATATATCTGTACCTTTCCCGGATTTCGTGCATACTGTAGCCGCTATGAGCACCTGAAATTATATTTTAACATAAACACACAGTCAAGTCGAAATTTACAAGAACGAAACACATTTCCAATAATATACACATTAAGTTTCCATTTTGTTAATTTATTAATAAATAGGTTTTTGTAGGGAATCTCTATTTACCATTTTCAAATCACGATATTGTAGCAAATAAAATTATAATTTTAAAATTAATGTGTTTATAAAATGTTCATAGGAGCAACCAGACTACATTTGACAGTTTTAAACAATGTTGCCATTGCCACTAAATATTTTTTACCGATATCTAGATAAATAAATGTAAAGATGCCAAAAGGAATTATTTGCAAAAATACTAGTCCCAGAGTCTAATTTTGACAATCATTTTCAAATCTTCTAAAATGATTAAAATAGTTGTATTATGAATCCTAGTCAGCTGCAGTTCCCAGTGTGGGTTAAGCGAAACTTAAAATTTATTTTTGACAAAAATAGATCTTATGCGGTAAGACATTAAAGTTCATTTTAGTTCTTAATCAAGTAATATATTTTAGCAGGTCTACTGCTTACTAGAGGCGTTGTACAAAGTGTAGATCTATAAAAGCAAGATTAAATTGTATGCATCATTACATTTTTCTACAACACCATCTAGTGTGCACTAGACAAATTAAGTTGTCTGTTAATATAATTTTCTTAGTAAGTAGTAAAATGGTCTTTAAAGTTATGATACATAGGGTCTACGAGGCTTAAGGTTTTCGGGGGGTCTTGCTTCTCAATCCCATCTTCGGAATCGCAACTCACGTCAATACGCTTTGTAATATAATTGTCTTAGTTGTCTTACCCATTTTAGAAGTTCGAATGTTTGTACATGATAATTTTATAGATCTAACAATATCTTAATTAGTTATTCTCTTCAATTGGGGTTCTCTTGCAGTATTTTTACTCAAATCTTGATACCTAATAACAGATAAGGTATTTTTTTAAATACCATTTAAATTTCATCGTCATCACCTCAGCCGGAAGACGTCCACTGCTGAACAAAGGCCTCCCTAAAAGATCTACACGACGATCGGTCCTGCGCTGCTCGCATCCAATTAAATCTAATGTAATAATATTCATTATTTTTAATTTGTGCTAATAAATATCAAATACAACTACATCTATTGTAATGATGCTAAGTAGCAACACTTGAACACCACGAATTAATGACGTGCTGACGTTGACGTGTAAATATACCATAATGTAGCCGGCAGTTTTTTAAGTGTATTTATCTTTCTTTTGGTTCAGTTCTAGTTTCTAGTAACTTTTGTCTATGAAATACCTAAAAAATTGTAAATGTCAAATTTGTCAAAAATAAACTAAGCACGTTTACGTTTATTGTGTTCATTTTCGTATTTTAAAATAGTTTTCTTGTTCTTTTTCATTTAATATAGTTCTGAATATAAAGATTTCATCAATGTTGTTGAGATGACGGAACTGACAATCTAAAGGGAGTCGTAATTTCTATGGAATACGATCGCATATTACAGGAGGCAGTTATTAGTGGTAAGTAAAAATAAAAAAAATATTTAGGTATATTACTAATCTTTATTTTAATCACTTTAGGTCATATGGTCTCTCAGAATGCGAGTGTTGTTCTTGAATACTTCGCGCCATTATTTTCGCTAATGGTTAACAATTTCATTTGCATACAATGAATCCTTTATGCTTGTTTGATAGTCCAATATTAGGTGCCTATTGTTTATTATTTCTTAGTGGAGATTATCCCATTTCTATTAATGGGTGTAGTTTTTTAGTACTATACAAGTCTTTGTTCATTAGATAATTATTAATTTAATTTCTATATTGGATCAACCTCACTTGGACTTTGAGTATATTATTTATTTGTAACAACATTAAAGTGGGTAGATTATTTATTTATTCTAGTGCCTAAATTACGAATAAGTCAAATGTGCAATAGTATTTGAAATTGGTAAATAAATATAAGTGGATTTATGTGTCTACATAAGGATGTATTCACAGTCCACAGTCGAGAAGTATGTATAGAAAGAAATGAAGAGATGTGACGCGTGCCGAATTCGTACTGAACGGAGGGTGTCGGAGAGCCGCCTCGGGGACACGGGGGACAGAGATCCTCTCATTGTGCCCCCAATTGTCTCCCAGGAGGAGCCCTATGATACTCGTAACTTAGTAAGACTTACATATTATTGTAGTTAGCACACCTTCGTTTAAGTGCACTTTGTTCATGTTGTGCACAATGTGTTGTTACTTTTTAGTTCATATATTGTACAGTGTACAAATGTTGTGTTATATGTTGATTTTATTTTTGTACAGCAGTAAAGAAACACAGTTTTAAGTATGTAGTTTGTGTTATTTGAATTTAATAAGACATGTCTTATTACCAATATAAGTTAATTATCATTTTTCTATCACATTTGCTAATTGAATTCTAATTCAATTCAATCAAAATTACACTGTCTGTATACTAAATTAGAAAACCTCACCAGTCTTCCTATCAATCACATTGAGAAAACTATTGATCTCAATTAGTATTAAATTTAATTATTACCATTATTAATATTAAAAAAAATTTAAATAACTGCTTATGCAAAAAAGTACACTACCATTTAAAAAAAATATCATTGAGATTCTGCATTAAAAAAAGTATTGAGTACATATATACATACATTCATATATCATTACTTTTTACATAAAATAGGATGGCATTATTACTGTTATTGTTTACTTAGTATTACTAGATTAGGGACTTAAGTAAGTATGGTAAGCACAGCATAGTAACCCTCAAATCATATTTGTATATCAAAATTGTCAGTAATCTCGACTTCAATTGATATCGTCTTATCAACATTATGTTTAGGTAGTTTAACTATACCCACATTTTAAAAATAGCCTTCGAAACTACCAATAACTCACTATCAAGTAGCTCACTTAGTAATTCTAATCACTCATTGTTCATACAGTAGTGTTCTTCCTTATGCCGAGGTGCAAACTTCCCATGATGAATCACAGATATCAATTATAATTTATAAGCTATACATATTCTTATACATATTGACAGTCTCTGTGGTTTAGCCGTTTAGTACACCACCTTCCTTCAATGGTTGCGGGTTACTTTTTTCACAATGCAAACATTTGTATTCATAAGTATGATTGTTTTTATTGGTCTGGTGTTTTCTATGTATTCTATGTATGTTTTTATAGTAGTCTATTACCCCTAACACATGCTCTGCTTGGTTGGGATTTGATGGTGCTGTGTGAATTGTCCTGGACTCATTATTATTATTATATATAAGTAGCATGAGTAGTCATGCTACTCGGGCATTTTATGCTATACATTGTTGAGACACAGGATCTCTTATAATTGAAATGAACATACAGCCAATGTTACTCTCACAGCATACAAGTCTTTGAAGTTCACAGCTTGTCTCCACTACAATGTGCATATAAACCTTCTAGAAAAATCTCTAAATTATAGTGATTACTCTATAAAAATCCTTTGTAATGTTTAGTATAAATAAACAAATAAAAAATAACCGCATTTTATATTATTAGTGATTAGTGTACATAGATGATAACTACATCTATCTTTATTAATACTGTGAATATAGAGACGGAGAAAGTGCTCTCTCCCTTTCTCTCTCTGGGAGAGTGACTTTTGTTATGAGAAAAAATAGACTGAAACCACTGTACCGATTTGAGATTTTTTTTAATGATTACAACTGTACATTATTAACCTGCCACGTAGGGGAGTATAGTTAAAATTACTTACTTAATATATATAAAATTTATTAACACCTTGGCGTAGCCATGGACTGCTATTTTTTTTTTATGTATGATAATGGAATGGTGCACCCGCCACCGCTAACGGTTTACGCTGTCGGGGCACCAGTGGGGGATGATAAGATGAGCTTGACGTCAGCTTAGTTAGCCGTGACTAATTCACCAGGAATTTATCACAATGGTTTTCAGTTTTTTTAATCTGACATGGTACATTGCTAGTAATGGGGTCATGAGTCCACATTCCTAACAATCCCCTTCCATCCCCCATGGAGTGCTATTAGTCTATCCATAGTTGTGAACTGTATTATGGTCATGTGTATAGTAACGGCTACCCGTATTCACATATTTCATTTTTTAAGGTGTAAAGTTACAACATTATTTAAAATTTATTTTTGTGACGACATAGTTTTCCAAATGGGTGGTGTATTTTAAAAAATAATATGACTATTCATAAGTGCTTAAACTTAAGTTTATTTTAATAAAGAATTATCTAAATAGAATTAACTAGAAATAGAAATAATCTTTATTCCAATAAATTTAATATAAACACTTTTGAATAGTCATATTTCATTATTCTACAACTCGTTCTGACGTTTAACTTGTGATGAGTCTGCGTTACGAACGAGTTGTGGAGAGAAGAACGAGCAATAAACTTGCGTGTTGCTCTTTTCAATAAAAGTTGTTCTTAGTAAATACAATTTACCAAAGATTAGACATGCGACAATCCACATAGAAAACGCTACGCGCTCTTTGTTTTATTTTAAAGCGCAATTAAGTGTAAATCTTATATATACATATAATTTTCATGTCACAGTTTTCGTTCCCATACTCCTCCGAAACGGCTTGACCGATTCTCATGAAATTTTGTGAGCGTATTGAGGAGGTCTGAGAATCGGTCAACATCTATTTTTCATCCCCCTAAATGTTAGGGGTAGTCCACCCCTAAATTTTTTATTTTTATTTTAAGCAAAACAACGTTTGCCGGGACAGCTAGTTATTATAATAATATCCTTGGACAATTCACACAGCGCCATCTAGTCCCAAGTTTATCTAAGCTACAGAAGCTATGGGAATTAGACTACTAATATAAATACATATATACTTTTTTTTTGTAAATACATACATAATATACATAGAAAACACCCAGACTGATACGAACAATCATACTCATGGATACAAATGATTCCCTACGAGGAATCGAATCCGTGACTATCGGAAGTAAAGCGGACATCACTAGACCATCGAGGCCGTCAATTATATCAATTATAATGTCATTTGCTTTCAATAATGACGCAATATGAAACTAACATGTCAATATAGAATTCATGAATCGATCGCAATTGTTTTGAATATTTGAATAATTTGATGGACAGCTTGTTTGCCATTTCTGTGACATGAATAATCTATGGTATACTAGCAGACCCTGCCACGCGTTGCTGTGGCTAACAGTTTTATATACAAAAATAATTCGCAATAAATTAATATTGCAACTATAAATTGAGACGTAAGCTATCCTATATTTCAAGTTGGATCAAATTGCACACAATGTGCAAATCAAATTTGCAATCGCTTAAGTAGTTTAGGAGTCCATCACAGACAAAATGTGACACGTAATTTTTATACATAACGATTATAGGCTAAGCGAATTTATGTGGTATCGGCGAGTTCATAGAGGCAAATATAGAAATTCATTCTTCATTAAAAAAAACAATAATGGCGATATTATTGTGGTGTAATTATATTTATTTATTTGCTTTATTTAATTTTAATGCACACAGTACAAAAAGTAACAGTACATACTTAACATATGCGGTATTTTCTACCAGTCAACCATAGCTAGTGCTGAGAATTGTATATATAATATGGGTTTGTATGTATGTATAGATATAATCTGTATATATAAAACTCTCGTGTCACAATGTTAGTTACCATACTTCTCCGAAACGGCTTGACCGATTTTTATGAAATTTGCGAAACAACATTTGCGGGGTCAGCTAGTAATATTATATAGGTTTAGACTATATGAAAAAAATCACAATCTGCTGTTCAACTCTGGAAACTAATTCCAATCCAATAACATCCGATTGCGTCTCTTTTCATACTCTAGAATTATCCGTTAGTAAAGTATTGATTCCATTTATATTAATCGACGACCGAGGTCGAGTCGTGGCTTAGCGCTTTAGCACACCACTTTACTTCCGATGTCTGTGGATTCGATTCCTCTCAACGACGTCGATGGTCTAACGGTTTAACACTACACACACTACTTTACTTCCAACGGTTGGATTCCACTGGTTCAATTCCTCGCCCGATAGAAATATTTGTATTTATAAATATAATTGTTTCATGTATTTATATCAGTTGTCAAGTACCCATGAGGCAGGCTCTGCTTAGTTCTTGGAACTAGATGACGCCATGTCAATTCTCCCGAGGTATTTCTATTATTATTAATTGGATACTTCATAATTAAGGATAGAACAAACATTGTCATTTTTTTATTACGAAATTTGTGCGCACTGGGTTTAGTTCATTTCAAAAGATAGTCCCTACTTAAATTGATTGGATAGAAATTGATACCAGAATACATCTGCTGTTCAAATTATTATTATATATTATATTATATTATTAATATTATAAATGTGAAAGTTTGTGAGTATAGATGGATGTTTGTTACTCTTTCACGCAAAAACTACTGAACGGATTTTGATGAAACTACAGTAATATAGCTTATATATTAGAATAACTTATAGGCTATAAATTTCAGGTGGGTGAAACCGCGGGCACAGCTAGTTATGTATATGTATAACTGTATCTGCAGTATATAATAATATATATGTATAACTACAGTTGAAAACTGTTGCGAATATACATGATTGTCCGCTCCAGAAGCACTGGATAACGTTGCATTGTGGACCCAGTGCTTCTGGACGTGGACAAAGATATATGAAATAAATATATCTACGTATATGTATATTATAAGTTACTAACATAGTTTTATAAGTTTTTACTAACACAATATGGATGTAATCCGAATTAAAAATTAAATTAATTAATTAATTAATTACGTTTTTACGATTTTACGATGTTATTTTCTCGCCTTTAGTACCTAATTGAAACAGGATAATCTGTAATATAATCGTGTAATGTTAACCAATTAATTATTGTACGATAGTAATCATATTCTAAAAACAAACAATAGAGATCATCGGAAACTGCCAGATCATTGCATGTTTGATAAAAGTGTTTTCAAAGATAAAAACGGATCATAATCATAAAATTGTTAATACCGGACTTTGTCGGATAATCTGTCTTCGTGATCTAATATCTTCATACCTATCAAATTATTAATAAGTTGTTCTGTCTTTTTCATTCATCATATATAAATCATC